TTATTCCTAAAAATTCAAAAAAATAAAATCAAAAACTTTAACATCCTGTATATCGAAAACTAAGCATTTGTGAACCCACGTTTGTAGGAAAAAAAAGTCTTATTTTGACCTCAAAAATACGCCGCTAAATTCTTTGTACCGAATTTTGAATCACCCTGTATAATGAACTGCATTGTTAACATTATCTATTAAACAACTTGTGATCATCAATGCACGGCATTTTTTCGTTGTCAATGTAAATTTCATTCTATTAATATATTTTTGCATAACAATTTACATTAAATTTTTTACATTATTATTAATACATCACTGTATTAACAAATAAACTGATGATTAACATCGCTACTGATCATTATTATTATTATTACCTTAGGACACTGTTTTAATAAACAGGCACCATAGTAATTATACATTTACATTATTTATTATTTACATCAATGGCCGTTTAATACCAGCCTCATTATTTCTTTCTGAGTAGCTTATTATTATCATCGGTAAAATTCGTCCAAATGATTATGGGGAAACTAATAGATATTGAAATACCATTTTGTCTAGGTATCATTAAAATTGTGCGCCATTATAAAGAATGGTAAGTTCCATCCGCTAAATGCCGCGTACGTGCCGAGATAACAAGGTACGTCGCAATCGGGCGTTTCCTTTTATTTTTCATCCTATCTCAACATTCTCGCACCTGCTGTTTCCGCTAAGTACCTTCCTCCCATCTATTTACTTTGAATGATTTCGGTACACATATAAATTATTCAAAGACTACCCCGGGAATCGATATCATCCGGCTTTTGAAATGAGTGCGTGAATACGCCGAAAACTGAAAATCGCTGCCGAAATCCGTGGAGCGGCATAAAATAAAAAGTAAATACAATGGCAACAAGTTGACGTACTTCGCTTAAGGCTGGGGGTAATAGCAAATTGTTTGAGCTAGGTAGACCATCGAAATAATTTCTGAATAATATGTTATCACCTGATTCTCTATTTCTAACATATTTGACAATATTCTCAAAAAATACCAAAAATGGCGATCTTTCCCAAAATTTTCATAGAAGAAAGTTGTTTACTCAAGTTTGTTTTATTTTATGTAACTATTTCTTTTTTTTATTGTCTTGGTCTAAGCGAGCCTCTGGTAGCTACGTAGGTATTTCTTTTCCGAAAAACAAAAATGCCTCACTAAAAATGCTGTCAACGTGATGTATACTTTAAATAGTTTCAAAAATTTGTTTCAGAATCCAATTTATTTTGATTTATTATTAATACAATCATAGACAGGCCAAATTATATAAAAGGTAACTTCTCATTATGCGAATATCAGTGAAAATAATTAATAAGTTTATTTGTAATTCAATTTATATATCTACCAGTTTAACAATGAAAATAATAATTTAAATTTTAGTATAAATGGACGAAGCCGTGAAATAGATTTTGAAGAGCAAAGTAATAAACAAAAATAAGTATAAATAGAATAAACTTCCCCGTGTAATTTTGTAATGTGTGACATTAGCGCATTCGCCATATTTTAAAATAACTATATTTGCGTCTTCTGACAACAAATTCAGTAATAAAATAATACAGGGTGCTCACAGGGATCTATATAAGAAAAAGCATATGTAGAAAACAAGATTTAGATAGGTACTACTTTATTTATACCGGGTGATTCAGTTTGATATTCGCAGCCCTGTATCTCTTTTATTTTAACAAATACAAACCCTATATATTTTTAAATCGCCGCTCAAACTCTATCAAATGACATCATTAGATCGTCTCCATAATAACAAAATTGCTATAGTCAACTGTTTTTTTTTTGAAATGGCGCACTATATATTTTTTTTATCAATTTTGGAAGATATTTTTTTCTGCGTTCAGCTATGTAAGGAAGTCTATAGTTTCATTAGAAATATTGCTAGAAAAACAGCAAAAAAGATTAACCTACTTTTAGTAATTTTATTCTGAAAAATGATAGCCAGCTGCGGAAACAAGTTATTATGTTTTTTAAAGTAACATATTTTACTTTTAATACGATAATAATATAACAATTTAAAACAATACTTATTTCAAATGGTCAAAATGACCTCCATTTGCTTCCAAATACAAAATAGCTCTGTTTATCACTCCCCTCTACAAACACATTCTAGTGTTTCTTCATTTAACCTCCAACATTCTACTATTATTCCGTTTTTAAGGTCGTCAATATCATTTAAAGTCGAAGAGTAAACCTTTTCTTTTAGGTAAGGCCTAAGAAAGAAATCTATAGGAGTGAGACCCGGAGATCTAGCAGGTCATTTAACATCTTCGAATGTTCTTCATCTTTTGCCCTTCTGAGTTTAAAAACTCTTCTTTTCTTTTGAAAACTTCCATCTGCCGCCAAATTCCTGGCTAACTTTCCGAAAATTTTATCTGATGGAAGTTGTCTCTGCGGAAAACGATGTTGGTACAAATGCCTGGCAGCTTTAGCGTTCTTTCGGCACTCTCCATAAATTAAAATCATATAATTCTTTAGATTTTCGGCTATACCGGAAGTCCATAAGAACCTCATTTTAAATTATTTCAATATTAACTTGTGTTCCATTTTATAAGATAAAAATTTAATATCCACATACCTAGCTATGCAAAATGCAACATTTTATTTTTTGAAACTATGCCCTTAATTTACATTTTACTTGTGGATCAAAGTATTCATTACTGTACTGGGTGTTCTAATTGAAAATCGGATTTCGAGGCTTTTAAAAAAATTAAAGTTAAATAATTAAAAAAACCTTGTTAACTGTTGAATATTTTTGTTTTTTAAAAAGGGTCTGAAATTTATCGTTGCAAAATATGTACCTTTAAAGACAGTTCTACAAATGTCAAAATATTCGTTCTCTTTTAAGATGCGGATACATAAACGTTTTTGCCTTAAAAAGGGAGTAAAATTCAAAAAAACAATAATTACAATGGTTTTAAACACGTTTATCACTATTTAATAAAATAAACGCAAAATCTTATAGTTAATGCTATTCGAAATTCCTTTTTCTTTCCAGTATGCCAAAAATACCGAATTAATGAATAAAAAATGACGTTCGTGTTTAATTTTTTTTTTAATTTTTGGTTAACATGGGAACACACTGTATAGCCTTGGTTTTTGCAGACGATGCACTTTTGTACACAGTCGGAAAGCCGTAATAAATGTGATAAAGTGTCAATAATTGCCAGAAAACCTCATGCAGATTACCCAAGGCTGCCTGATTAATTAATTATAATCAGAACTAACTTCCAAATATTTCAGGAGTTGAGGAAGTTTTGAAATTATTAACGTGATTTTGTACGTATTATACATAAACTTGCGGCACGTAATGGTTTAATAGAGAGGATCATATCTGTAGGTAAATTAACCACATACAATGGAGTTTCCATATCATTGTTGGGTATAGAATTTATCTAATATGGGATAAATAAACGTTTAATTACGCGAATAACAAAGCAAAAGCCATATTGCTCAAAGCATTCCTGGTGAAGCAACCATCTGTATTTCATAAAATTGGAATATGAGATTTGCATTAACAAACATTTATAAAGACGATAAAAGTAAACAAACTAAAAATAAACCTTGAAATAAATTATAAGACAACCTTTATAAAACCCACAGTTTTCTGTTGAGACATTTAAAGAAAATGTCAGGAAATGTCTCTTACTGAAAACAGATACTTCCCTGAAATTCGTAAAGGCTTTTGACTGCATTACAAATTATTTTTAAAAAATTGATCGGCAGTTTTAATATACGTAGAAAACTTATTTCAGCATTTGAGAATTTGTAACTACATTCTTCATTTATTAAGTTAAATAAAAAAATTTACATATATTGCTTCTTATAAGTCCAAACTTGAAAAAGTCGGAAGTAATTTTTTCGCGTCAAATAAACTGGCACAAAACAGGTTAACTAGAAGCTACAGAAACACCTGTCTAGCTATATAATTTACCATAATTTATTTTTCCACTAAAAGAAATGTTTTCATTTGGCGCTGAAATAAACCATGTCATTTTATAATTGCATAATTGAAATTTACGACTAGCAGCGGACTAAGAGTTTTATCGAAAAACTGTGTTTTGTGAATTATTCTGGTTACTTTTGTTATACACACATTAATTTTAATTCTGCGTTTCCGGAAATCTTACTACTAATTTTATTTATGTATACAGAGTGTACCATTAAGAATGAGGCAAAGTTTTATCGAAGTCATTGGACCCAATATGTTTTAAGTAAATGTTACTTATCTACAATCTAGATTCATCCTAACATCTTCTGTCAAACATTTAAACCAAATCGTCGATAATCTAAAATCTGTACCAAGTTCCTTCTAGATCTAGATCTAGATCTCATTTTGAAATTATTAAAAAAAATGTGTAGTATTTATCGGAGCACTTTTATCGCTCTGTCACGTTTTTATTCAGACTTTTCGTGCTCATGTTCGTAATTTTGGAAATTTTTTGCTTAAAATGGCTATACATAACTTTTGGTTGAAAATAATCTCCAAGTCCGTAAACATATTCATTACTGTGACTTTTGACAGTTGAGACTTCTCGAATCGCTTTTAATTTTAACGCTACTTCTGTTTTTTTCAGTGAGAGATTTTTAGTTAAGGGAAAGTATTTTCGTAAAAATAACCTTTGCTTGATCCCTTTGGCGCAAGGGTTTATTCTACTAATTTTTTAAACGTTTTCAAAATATCCAATAAGTAAAGAAAAAAACGAAAACCTTGTCAAAAAACTTGAAACAATACTTAGTTTAAAATAATTGTCAATATTAAAGGTATAACTGTATAATGTTAATATGTCTACAAATGCATTCATAGTTTTTAAAAAATTAAATTTATTTAAATGGTCAACATTCCCTGATGATGGCATAATAGCCGAAACTAGTCTCTATTTAGCTTTTCACACTTACTAGTGCTACTATATTTATTCAGTTTTATAAAGGACATTCGACATCATTATAATAATTGTCTTATTTGCAGAAGAGCCGGCAATGAGAGTGCGCTAGCTGGGAGTATGGGACCGCCGGGATGGGCATGCGCACAGACCCACGGGGCAAGTCTCGTCCGCTGACCAACGCCACAGGATCTCCGGTGCCTCAACGTTCTCTCACCATATATACCTTCCTTGCTGCCTTTCTAACGTTCGTCTTCTTGCAAACAGGTGAGATTACGAAGAACGACAATTTCCAGGTCAGAACAATTTAACAGGAGACTGCAGAGACATCGTACACTATTAGAAGTACAAAATGTTCCATAGTTTACTGCGACTCTTCCCGAAATCAAATCTGATATACATATTTCAAGTCATTCAAACAGAACGCAAATACGATATTTTGATTTCAAACTGATGCAATCAACTCTTCTATTTTATTATAACATAAATCGGATTTCTTATTTTAGTTCTAACCTGATTATTGCTGATTTCCCAATTTATTAAAAAATATCTGAGTAAAATACGCTCTCCTAAGCTGCTTCCTTAAAATTATTATTTTTTTCTAATATTAAAGGACCCCGCACAATCCTTATGGGAAACTCCGTTCGGTCAATTTTAATGAAATTTTGGGAATAGGTTGTTTTTGTTATGAGGAACAAAGTCTTCATGGGCCCAAAGTTCGCTAATGGACAGTTTCTGAGATATTCGATGTTAAAAGCTGATAATGCGAATGCGTGTCAAACACGTGTTTAAATGCTTATTAGTCGCGCAAAAGCTCCATGAAGCTTCTTAAAAACTGTATAACGCACGCACACGCACACACACACTAATACAAACGAATGGATACGCACTATCTAGACGAATATATACGTATTATACCTAACCAGGTTTCTATAACATTTGCCGTTTGGTCCTTAGCGACCGAGGCGTTACTGGTGGCCCACCCTGTATTGTATTTTTTTTTCCTTCGCTATATCTAATGAACCCATTATTACTTCTTTCTCAAATTTTTTTTACGATTCTGTTTCTTTATTTGTTTTAAGAGGAAACTTATATGTGGATAATAATCCGGTGTATTTTTTCTACTAAATAATATTTTTGTATAAAGAAAAAGGACGCGGATTCGAATTATAAAAGGACTTCGATTCATCCAATATATTTAGTAGAAAAAAGTTCTTTACAATCGGTTAGTGAAAAAAAAGTTACGGGAGTTGCCCTTCCTTAAGAAAAATGCACCGTTTTGTTTCTTTATGAAAGTAATTACTTTACTGCAGAGTATAATTTTAAAACTTTTGTAAAACGGTTACAATTCGTTTGGAAATAAATAGAAACACTGTCGTTCTCAACATTACGAAATTAGAGATGGAGTTCCCATATATGTACCTATTTATTATTATTTTGTTTCTATCGACTGTAGTTTTTCAACTAGAGGTAGATATTAATAGAAACAAATTTTTCTAGTGCAACTTTTGTAGAAAAAAAGACATATTTTTGACAAATTGTCCATAGTAAGCCATTATACTCAGTTACATCCTATATTTGGTAATGTAAATTTTAAGTTTTAGTGGCGCTTACCAATACACTTGCACTATTACGCAAAATAAACATTGATCTATAATTTAAGCAAAATAGTGCTTACGTTAAGTGGCCTGCATTAATAAATGATTGGGCTACTTTAAAATTCAAATATTTATGACCACGTAGGGAAAGCAGTGATTATTATGAAGCATAAATATTCATACGTATAAAAAATGTTAAAGGTATAAAGTGCTTGGGGATAATAATTCGATAATTTATATTCAGGGCAACTCTGGAAATATATAGAGGGAAAATACTTACTCTTGTGATCTCTACAGTAACCCAATAAGTTTTATAGATTAGATGATGTCGGTATTTTCAGGTGTGAAGTAAATTTACCGGTCGCTAAATCGATATCTTCATTTGCTGTGCGAAATTTTATGAGGAAATTATAGATTTAATTGGAAAATAAATTTTCTCTCGCCTATAACTATTATTAAAAATATTATTACTAGCTAGTTTGGTGCTAATATAGTAATTTTATATTAAGATATTTGTATAGGCATCCGCAGAATATTTGGCACAAGCCAAAATAAATTATTATCAATGATAAATTTTTTTGATGTAACTGCGCAAACATTAAAAAGTCAATGAAATACTTTCGAATAATTTTCATTAATTGAAACTATTTAAGTGCTTATCCAAGGATAATATTATTTTCATCCTTTTCCACCAACCTTTTTTATATATTCTATTGAATTTACAAAATCAATGTTTCAAGTTACATTCATTCTAATAATTGGCGAATGCGCCAATGTTATTAATAGTTATTTATTGTAAGTGTTTTAAGCAGTTTTTATAAACGCAAGAATGTTTAAACGCGAGAACGAATCGAAAAACACATCACAATCATATTTGTGGTGTCAGAATTATTACACGACTTGATATTTCTTACTAGTACTCAATGAAACGTGGTACCTACTGTTTGCTATGGTACGTTGTTTATTATCAATTATTTAATAAACAGTTTTATCTGAATTTGGTAAAATTGCAAGAAAGTAATTGTGTTCCTGTGGCTATTTCTGAAGAGATCAAGCAGTAATTTTCCATTTATTGCCAGCGAAATTCAGGGAAAATTACGAAAAAGTGTTCGCCGAATTTAACGAATGGAGGGAAAAACGGAGAGTAATGACAATAAATGAAGAAGTCATGCTATTGTATTGTATGCTTTTATATATACGGCGTGTTCATGTTTGGTCCGGAACACCCCTGCCATAGGATTTTGATTATTATTTATTTATACATGCATGGCATCTTAATGCATCTACCGAATTAAGTGTCAAACGAAAAGAAGTGTAAATTTTTGTCTACGTTAAAAAGTTCTATATGCCTTAAAAGTACTTGAAAATGGCCAGTTAAATAAGTTACACTCTTCTTATATAGTAAAATATTAAATTTCTTTTAAACAATATAAGATGAGCTGTACATAAACAAAACTGTAGTCGTGTGGACTTTAAAGATTGATAAATTAAGCAACATATTTCATAAAAAAAAATCCCTTATGATTGTGAAAATTTTCCCCAAAAAATTTCAACCATTACTATTGTACTTGGTTCTGTAGATGCATATAGGTATGTATATAAAAAAAGTCGTGTGATAGAAAATTCGAAAATAAGCTGTAATTATGTTTCAATGTTTTATTACCAGTAATGGTAAAGAAAAGTTATTTAAAAAAGTAACTGTTATTGTTCAATGCCTCGAAACCAGCCTTAATTATGACGAACAATTATGATAAAATTAGTTACTCTTTTAATAGTAATAATAATATGAATCCAATGCGCTTAGCAACGAGGTTTTTAAATTATTAAATAATTATTGCGATCAATGAAATGTAATTCGCGTAATATTATATGCAAAAACAAACAATATCTACCGCAATATTCGGTTTTATCATAAATTCGATATTAATATCATGCTAAAAGTAAAATATATTAAACTCTAACGTGTACCGTGGCAAACTCCGAACTGTGTACAATTTGCAAACTACAAATAAATTCAAATCTAAAAGCGATTACGAGATTGCATGTAAAATTAATCCAAACCGCATTAACTGACAGTTGCATAAATTTAAATTAAAAATAAATTGAAAGGCATATTTAAACGGAATGATAAATGTTCTACGCTGTCACGAAATCGTTGAAGTAGGATGTGGGAAAATATATAAATGATACTAGATATGTACTCATTAGAGTTTTGTGGAAAACGCCAGTGTTGCGAAATTAATTTTGAACGTTTCATGTTTTACTTTAGTGCAGCTAATTTAATGAAATATTTATATAAAAGCATATTTACTGAAATATTTATAAAAGAGAAGTAGAAAGCGTATGTACTCGCAACTACAGTAAATTTCAAAAGCTTTCAAATTAAACTTGTTTTTATAAATGCATGTATGGTGCTATAGATACTTTTTTGTTTCTTTTGGCAACATTTTATTACAATTAATAAAAATTACTTGTGTGCTTCTGTAATGGCACTGGTTCTAATATTTGATTAACAAGGTATGATTTTAAAATATGCAGTTAAACGTATACATTACAATAACAGTGAACGCTTGATATTGTGCTTCGCACTTGCCAGAAGAGTTGCTCTGGTTACTTTTCTGAAGACAACAGAGTTGACGTTCGAACGTTCGCGAACGTTTGCTCTGAATGTCTCTTGCTGTGGCTGGAGCTGCTTGCGGCGTCGCGTATAGTTTCGGATATTGAATTCAAAACATGAGTGAAAATTTCAGGCGACTCTGGGTGCATGTGGCGAGCAATTCCTGTTCGCTACGTCGCCGAAGTTACTTTATTCCATTATATTTTATGTTTAGCACTACTTTACTTCTTCTAACTTCTAATTTAACCATTTTTCTTTTATAACATGTGTAAATGTGTATTTCGTTTAGATTTCTCTCTCGGAATCGTTAAAAATGAACCCGTACGTATGATGTGAGCAAACATGAAGTAACTGGTGGATCTTATCTAACATAGGGGAGCGAGAAACAAACCTCAGATGTAATCTCAGCGTTAGTCCTGACGAATGACATCCTAACCCGGACCATAGTACGAATGCTGCTCAAAGTTTTACGGCAGGAATAAATTGATCGTGCCGGATAGATCCTAAGTTTCTTATCAAAAACTCTTTCTTTTCTTATTATCGCTTATTTTTTTGTTATTCAGAACAGTCGTAACCGTAGTATGCAGTTGGAATGTGTTTCACTGCCAACTTCTATAATTGTTATACTTTAGAAAGTTATTTTTCACATATTACCACATTTTTTGTAGTAAATGTATTTGAAATCGAAGCGTCTTCACATTTTCGCACGAAATAATTTGATTTTAGTCATAGAGGTCCGGTTCTAAAATTATAGAAAGCCGGATTTTTTTAAATACATACAGGGTGTTAAAAAAAGAGTGTAAAATATTTAAGGAGGTAATAGTATGAACCAAAATAAGCAGAAAAGTCTCAATAAACATGGGTCCGCAAAGTAACGGTTGCGGAGATATGGAATGTTTTATGTTTTTTTATTTTGCAAAAACGTTGTGTATTTTCTTATAATAGTTGGTTGATGTTTAGTGAAATAAACAGTACGTATTTGATTAACAGGCGCTGCTTACCTCAACTTTCTGCAGAACACAATGTATGATTTTTTGGAAGACATTCCTTTGAATCAGAGGCAACAAATGTGGTTCCAGCATGATGGTGCTCCACCTCATTTTTCCATGGCCGTTAGAGAGCATTTACACCAAACTTTTCCACATAGATGGGTAGGAAGGGCCGGACCTGTTTTATGGCCTCCAAGATCGCCTTATCTGAACCCTCTAGATTTCTTTGTTTAGGGATATTTGAAGACATTAGTGTATGGTACTCCTGTAAATAGTCTGGAAGAGCTGCAGTTACGGATTAATCAAAAGTGTCAAGAAATCCAAACCAAGGAGGGTGTTTTCGAAAGAATTCGAATATCGTTGAGACGATGATGTCGTGCCTGCTTGGAAATGGACGGAGGGCACTTTGAACATCTTCTGTTGTTAAAAGCTTCGTTTGTCGGTTTATTCCTAATAAAATAAAATGTTTGAAAAACGAATAGCGGTCCATATCTCCGCAACCGTTACTTTGCGGACTCATGTTTATTAAGACTTTTCTGCTTATTTTGGTTCATACTATTACCTCCTGAAATATTTTACACTCTTTTTTTAACACCCTGTATATTATGGACTTTTTCAATATCTCAACAGTCACTCTAAGTTTCAATTATTTTACAAGAACAAGATATCACTTGATTTAGATACACCTCATTATTTAAAACATTGAAGACGGTTGAACAAATTAGATATTTTAAATACGAGTACGATATCGTTAAAGAGAAAATGTCATATTTAATACTGTATTTGTTTCAGTAAATTGTTTCCAAGATGCAGTCCATATTACAGCAATACTTGGTGAGTCGGTGGTGTTCAATTGCCACGTGGAGTTCCCTGAGGGACACCCCGTGCCGTACGTGTTACAATGGGAGAAGAAGGTAGGCGAAACGGTAGGATTTTTCACCATCTGCTCTCTTACTGTGTGAAGGTGGCCCCGGATTCGTAACTGAAGGGCACAGGCCCTGGGTTTGCTCCTTGCGACACCACATTGTTTGTGGTCGTTCTTCGGTTCGAAGTCATAAGTGGATTGTCGATGATTCTGGTTTAAATATTCTCATTTAATGCCTAATCCTGACGCTGTGAAATATAACAAGAAAGAAAATAACATCATTGTATGTATAAAAAATCAGAATGCTGGAAATAATAACCAAATATTTAGTTATGTTGTCGAACGCCTTGCTAAAGTCCGTATATGCAAAAATAACGATTAGGACTTATAAAACGATTAGGACTTATAAAACGATTAGGACTTACAAAACGATTAGGACTTACAAACGATTAGGACTTGCAAAACGATTAGGAAAATAATCGATTTGTCGTTGTAGCTTTTTGATTCCCATTAAATTTGGATAATTTTTCGGCACAAGCTGTTTTTAAAAATGTATTCAAATTTTTACCTATTTTGGAAGATGTTAGAGCGCTTTCGGAAGTTTTTTAAACAAAAATTCGATTTTAGATCTTGTGCATAAAAAAAGTTTTCTTAGGGTTTTTTTAAACATATTTTAATTACATCTCAAAATTAAATGTTATTTTATGGACATGTTTTTTGAAAAATGTCCCAGGTACACTGAAAGAAGAATCCTTCTTAACACTAAATCCCTTTTCCATTTAAATCTTCGGGAGACCTAGTAAGCCTTATTTGCAGAGTTACATAAACCGATAAGTTATCCAATTTTCTAGTTAGATATAATTTGATAGGACCGCAGTGGTATATTGCTTTCTTAAAGGGCATTTCAGGCGAAAGCTGCATTATCCGAGGTTCGATGCTCTGGCGAGGAACTATATAAGATATAAGACTTTTTAGGAGGATAAAAGTGATCCCGGTTAACTCTGATATTGGGTGTCTATCGACTCTTTCGCTCGCATCCACGGGATACTATGAGGATATAAGGGATCGTCAGTGTGACGTTTAATTTCCAGAATTAGAAAATCGACCTCTTTTCTGTCTTTTCCTCTCTCTGGTAAATCTATTAAAATCAGAGAAACTTAATAATGGAGAATGATATTACATACATATTACAATTAAAATACATTTTTTTGTATTATTTGATTGTCAGTTGTGCCAAAGATGTTGATTTATCAAAGACATTAAGTCTCTATCCCAAAACATATATAATGGTATAATAGTTTAAAAATACAAACATATTTTTTCACTATGCCTGAATTTTTGTCAATCTTACTATTTTCTAAATAAAGATTGTCCAAATATTTTTTTAGACTTACTCAGGAAATGTACTTTCACAATTAGAGTGTCTTTATTCATTACTTGTTGCTATAAGGCGTTTTTTTTATCTAAAAGTTTGTATACTACATTTTTCATTTCTTCATGATAACCATTACCGATCGCATTGTGTCTATTGACTTTTTGATACTTAATAATTTATAAAAACTAAAATCCATTAGTAAATTTTAAAGTATATTACAAATAAATAGGAGCTACACTTATGATTTCAGCCTTAGAACCAGCCATACACTAGTGATGTTGCAGGGGTTCGCAACAGGCAAATTGCATATGACGAAATCACAGAGTAAAAACTACGCCTTTGACGAACTCGAAAATTCGATTTATTTACACACACAGCAAAGTAATTGAAGCACTTCATGCTGCTGAAAATGTGCATTAGCTAAATATATCACATTTGATCTTCTTTGCTCTTTCTATTAGCGCAGTGTTCAATATGGCAGCTAATAATTCGACTTTGTTGATCTTATTCGGAACTTTGATGGAAATATTCAGGGAATATATATTTTAATTAATTGGGTGTTTTAGAAAATTATCTAATTTATTTTCATTTGACTTTTTGAACTAGAAAACACCCTAAGTTTCGTTTGGATTGGAAACTTCTTCACTATAACCATAATGTCATGGGGAAAGCGAAATGTTCTAGAAAACAATAAAATACTAAAGAAGTTATGCAGATACAAACTACAATAATCGAATGTATCTTACACAAACGCCGTTAAAAACGGTATATGAATTATAATAATAGTAAAATCTAATTAAATTGAACATAATATTTATTACATGAACTGTTATTTATCATTATTATGTTTAGTCTAACAAAAGACGTTAATATGGCGTTATGGATATTAAAAACTATTAAAAAATTTATTTTGTGCGTGTTTTAAGGTTAAGTGAAACAATTTTTGAGCCAAAAATAAAGCGTACGATTTTATTAGAACAAAACAACATATGAAATTTGCCTGTACGTATTTATAAATATTTAAACTAGAATTTTGTTTTGTTTTGGGGTGTTAAGAGTGCCAACCACCAAACACCTCGCGTAAATTTAATTATTGGTTTTGTTTATTGTGATTGGCCACAGTGATGTAACTCACAATGAACGGGATACGGAGAGCAGACCGATAGTGTTTTTTCATCATCGTCATTAATTGTTCACTATGCATTTGTGTGTTTTATCTAAACGAGAAAGGTTTTCAAATTACTTTTATCAGAATTACTTATTGCGGTCTTAGAACTATTTATGTATTGGTACACCAAACCAATTAAATTAGAATATATTTTAATTTTTTTACATATTACAATAATGTAATCTTAATATTTTCAATTGTTTAATTACATGTGGCTGATGATTATCCACCGACTAGTGGATAATCAGAAGACTATATCCATTAATAAATTAAATCTAACAATTTGAAAACTAAAATTTTTAGTTTATCTGCTCATAATAATTTTTTTTTTTCACTAAGGTCTATATACTATTATAAAATGCTAAAATATGTTATTTCTCCTTTTGTAGAACAACGAAGACCAATACTTATATAGAGAGAGAAGAACAGAACCAGAGGTGAAAACATGCTAAAAAACTAAAAATTAGTCTTTTGAAATTAATTTTCAAGATATTTTAAAATATTTTTGAAATTGATGATCTAAATAAAATCAGGATTTAATTTTTATTTATTTTATTTATTTATTCAATTACTACTACCTATTAGTAGGAAGATTTTCTTTGAGAATGTTACAATTGTTTTTTTACTTATTGGAAGTTTTTAATTTTTTAATTGTTTCTAGTTTTAGTCAAAATCAAATTTAAAACATATTTCTAGTTAATGTTTATGAAAAATTTATAAATAAGTCTTAATAAGAAAGAAACTTATCTTATGTAAATACATTTCTCAATTTTCTCGTCACACTTATATTATTTATTATTTTAAATGAGCACACATCGTTTACATAACAAAAAATTACTACAATGATTTTTGAAAATGGTAGTATTTAATTGTTACATTCAAAACACACAAATGTACTCATACTCATTGATAGTGTGACTTTTTAAATTAATAAATGTTGTACAGCAATGAAATAATACAGAGACATTTTTGCACCACGATTGTATATGATTTCTAAATGAAAACATCACTTAAAGTGCTCTACTTCACTGTACTAACAATCACAAAATTCAGAGTAGTTCTGTCCTGTATTATGAAACTCTCGTAGTGGTGTTAACGATAGTTTAGATCTATATCTGTCTCTCTCTATCTCTTTGTGGCATTTTCTTTTCTCACTAGTGTGTAGTTTAGTTTCTTCTGCTATCTTTATGCTAACATGTCAAAGCTTACGAAAATGATTTTTGGAAGAATATGCTAACGTTTCAATAAACTAAAATAAAACATATTTAATTCTTTTCCATTTACAAATAGTCTTTATTCTTTACATACTGCGTCTACAACAATTCCTAAGTGTACTGATCTTGATAAAGAATAATCTTTATTTATGTTACACTTCTTAAATCTTGCGAAGTTGAGGCTACATCTAAAAGCACCTTTGATGACTGATAGCATCTCGAGAGTTGAAGTAGACAAATATGCATAGAAAACTATTACTATTTGTAAATGTATGTTCTCTTGGAGGAAAATCTCCTGAAACTGGCTATCCTCGAACTCCCCTGATTTACTCCCAGAACAGTATCTGCAGCCACCATTAAGAACTTAGCGATCTCAATCTAGGAGACTTAACATTAATCCTGGGATATCTGCGAGGCCAATAAGTGGGTCGGGGTGTCTCTGGTTGTGTCAAATATATTCCGGGGGTGGAGATTAGGCAGGTTTAGGTAAATAGTTTTAGCCGATGTTTCATGGACACGCAAACGTAGGGCAGCATTGGATGGAATTACATGAAGAAGGAGGCGATCTTATTAGACAAACGCAGTGGTTGTTAGGCTACCACTGATTTACGTGTCCGGTGGGTTGCCTTGGCAGTGAATTAATTTAATCAGGCAGACATTTTTTGCGATGCCTAAAGCATACTAGTACAAAAAATGCTGTAATGAGGTAACGATAAAACAATTTTATAGATTCACAGTAGTGCAGTTTATGATACAGCTAATATGACAAAATATTGTATTAAAAGCAAGTTCCCAATTTCAATAATTACCTACTTGCACAATGCCATCTTTCCAATTGGCTAAAAAAAGTTGCTAAAATCTGGAACTTAACTTTGTTATTTAACAAGGATTTTATTGTTCCACTCATCTGGACCCTAATTCTTCCCTTGCTTCATTAAATTCAGATTTGTTCTTCCACTAGATTTTTCACGTCTGACCTTTTCCAAATTGGTCCCCAATTTCTTTTTGTCAGCAGTTAAATTTTACAGCAAATGTTTTTTTGTGTTTTCAGATAGTTCTTACTTTTACTTGGCCCACTGAGCTTATTTATATTTCATCTGATCCTGGACTAGAGTTTGGCATTGGTACTTTACAAATTTTTATTCAGGCAACCCCTTCTTTCTTTTTTATTTTCAATGCTTACTTTAATTTCAATATCTGATCCTTCAATGTTTAACTATTCAAGGGCAATATTCTCGTAGGTAGTTCTCTTCTACTCGAGCGAGATGTCTTCTGAAGATGTGGATTCCTAATACAGTAAAATCGGTATGAGTCTGTCTCTTGTGAGTTTTTCATCACTCTTGTGAGTGTCAACAATCTCTTGTGAGTGTCAGCAATCTTTTGTGAGTGACAACAATCTCTTGTGAGTATCAACAATCTCTTGTGAGTGTTGCCCAATTATTTTAGAAATTTATGAACCAGTTGGTGGAAATACACAAAATAAACGATTTTGGAATCCAAATCTCTAATTACCGCAAATGCGAACGGTTAATACTGACAAAACTCTTTGACGTGTTAACATGGAATCGGCTTTTGCAGTGCATGCAATCTAAAATATATAAAACGGGATATGATTATGTGGTGCTAACAAATTTTGCAAAGTAAATAATGTCCCGCAGCTGTGCATTGTCCCGCTGAAATGCATTGTTAATGCATGAAACATAGAGCTTTGAAACGCCTCCGCTCACTGCTGATATTATTTTGTATTTATTAGTTTTGTTGTCGAGTTCCTCTAAAATGACTTTAATCTCTTGTTTTCAGATAATTAAATTATGCAGGTAATTTAAAACTGAAACTAGAATGAACGTTTTGTAACGGACTTTATTCGAACTAAGTTTTCCGTACGTACGGTTTCAAGTATGAAACAGAATAATTAAAAACGTGTTGGAACGCCGAACTTTGCCGGAATGTAAATCAGCCTGGACAGGACTCGTGCACTCAATTTCAGTTATTAGCAAACTACGAGCAAAACTCGACTTTACAAAAATATTATCTAATTTTTCTCTACAGCAAATAATGCTGCTGATGGAGTACTACGTACGCAGAAAGTAATATTATGCTGAAGCTGAATCAGAAGGTCCCATTTATTATGATATTCTCTATATGTATCTGCAAATAATCCTTGATCCAAGACATTTTTTTCTATAGCAGATGTCAAAAATTACTAACTTGAAGTAGTAGATTAAATAGCACTTCAACAAAGGGATACATGACAAAATTTTAAGAGAAAGTGTGGATACATTCTTTTAAAATTTTTGTTTAAAATAATCACGTTATTTAATACGTTCGAGAATTATTGTTAATTTTGATGGTCTACAGATGAATAAAAACTTCAATGGTGCAGCTAACATTAATAGAAATATCAAATTCGTCAGGCATGTTCTGAATATGATTTGTCAATTTCTAATTATGACAAACGTAAAGATAAAAAAATATATCTGTATCTAGATGGAATCATAATGTGTATCTTTTGCTGCTATTAGGTATAGGTATGCTTCGATACGGAAATTTTACTGGTTACCGAATCTATGAGTAAGTTTCTGTATTGGATGACGAGTTCCTCTTACCCACAAACTATGTAGTTTTCATATCAGCGTCAGCAGAGTTTATTAGAGCCTTTGCAAAAGAATCGTCGAAATAATATACAGGAACTTGACAATCTTCACATTATACAGAGTATTATTTAACACTTTTCCTGTCTTGTGAAGCAAGTTTTTAGGTCTTAATTCCTTTTAAAATTTCCAGCTCACACTTTTAAATTCTTTGCCGGTAACGCAAAAATGTTGACTCCTGATTTTGGTATCAAGTGAAATAACCATGATTGGTCTTCGAATATCAATATTAGCAATTTCTAAGATCCATCCGCAGATTTAACAAATGTATGATGACGTCATCGAAGATTTTCGACTTTCTAATCATGTGTCAGTTTCTTGAACAATGTAATAATTTTGCTGAATCCGCTAGTATCCAGTGACGATATTTATAATTACTTTGAAATGTCACAATTTTCATTCACTAGTAGCATGCATTTGTACGGAATTATAAAACCCATAATGTTGAATGTATCTAACATTCACGAAAACTATATCAGTTGCACTTTTCATTGACACTATTGATATTTGTCGCGATTTTTAATTTTTTACAACTCCTGTTCTTTTTGATTTAATGTGAACTTTTCTTCTTTCAATTCGTTTTCGAATATTTTTGCTTCTCCTTTTTTTGTATCATTGTAAAGTAAACTCATTTGCAAATTCCATAACAACCCTTACTACTGGGGTTTTAAAGTAAGTTTAAAGTAACTCAATTTTTCACACAAATATCTGCTATAGAAAATATGTACCTAATAGAATTATGTTAAAGTTTATCATCTTTCTAAAAATAATTCCTTCGTGATTTCATGCTCTTGAATTAACATTCTCTGCTCGTTGTTAAATTACAATTTTATCGTCTTATACAAAAAGTAACTATTTTTATATATCAAGGGTCAAAGGTTAAAAACTCAGCAGTAATTCTAGAAAAGAAAACCATGTTCCAGTATCTAGGACTGATTGTTTTAAAACTTTACACTATGCGGTTTGTACTGATAATAACTTGCTGCAATGCACACAAACAGATTTTTTTCGGCCATAAAGTGTAACAGAATATACCCAGCAACGAATATGAAATTAATTTTCTATCTATTTAAATCTAAATTCATTTCAATAGATGGGATATGTTGCTTTTATGCCATTGCTTTAGCACTGCCAGGAAATCAAGTCTTGGGAACTAATTGATCGACTTAAGATACTGTGTTAATAATAATAGAAGTCCTGTTCTTTTTTTTTAAATTATTTTACGTTATACTATGTACTGTGTCCCAAAATAATGGAAAAAAATTCATATTTTTTTCTAGTTGAAATTTAAAAAAATCGCTGAAACAGGTCAATTAGTAAATAGAAATTGTCACTTTTCAGCAATATTTTCTATTTTTTTGAGCCATGTTTGACAAACCTATAACATTACCGACATTTTTTTAAATAGAACGCGCTATGTTTTATAGTATAAATAGACAACCCTTCTAAAGACGAATTCATCGAGGTTATACCTACTTTTTCGTCATAGTTTAGTACTACTTTTCATTTTATTACAACAAATGTTCAAAGTGGCCGCCATTAACCATTGCACAATGCCCAATTCGATGTCCAAAGTTATCAATTGCGTTTTGAATAACATTTGGTGTTACGTTTCGAACTTCTTCTCTGATACGATTTTTCCAATCCTTCGATAGTGTCTGGTCTGTTCACATACACTTTGCTTTTTAGATAACCCCACAAAAAAAATCTAGTGGTGTCAAGTCAGGGAAGCGTGGTGGTCATTCAAGCAACATTCTTCTGCTTATAATCAATTTGGGAAAACTTCATTAAGGTAATTTCTTACATCGAGGCGAAAATGTAGGGGGGACCATCTTGCTGGAACCAGCAGGCATATCGTGCTCGTGAAAAAATTAATTCCAGGGCTGGAATCAGCTAAAAACGCAAAAAATGCAAATAAATGTCGCCTGTTAAATTGCCCTCAAAGAAATAAGGTCAAACATTCACTTTTTCCGACAAGTCGAAGTTGACTGAGATAGAGAGAGTATTTTCAATAAGGGCGAGCATCACATTTTGATTTTTGATCCAGGTAAATCTTTTATACTTCTTGTTTCTTCAAAGTTTTTGGATACTTTACTTATTGTAGCTCGACTAATTCTCTGGCCTGGATACTTAATAGTGAAATAAGTCGCATACCTCCTGTTGACTACGGCTTTTATTTCCGCATCCAATCATAATTAAAATTTCAATTCTCTGTTTTTCGCTTCAACGGGCAAGCATTTTTCAAAATAATTTAACAACGGATTAATTGGAACTAAAACGATTCACGTTACACCTAAGGTATTCTAGTGAATTTTATTTGTTTATCGATGTGATTGTTTTTAAGAAAATAAAGCTTTAAAGTAAATAGAAAAAGATTAATAAATAGTAGATCCGTTTTTTAAAGTACGAAAGAGACTATGATTGTTTGAAATAGTCGTCAGTACGACATAAAAGACTATGTTTTAAATTTTTTAGACAATTATGACAAAAAACTAGGCATAACCTTGTATCGATGAATTCGTCTTTAGAAGGGCTATCTATTTATACTATAAAATATAGAGCGTCCTATTAAAAAAAATGTCGGTAATGTTATAGATCTGTCAAACATTGAAAACATTGCAGAAAAGTCACAATTTCTATTTACTAATTGACCCGTTTCAGCGATTTTTTAAAATCTGAACTGGAAAAGAAATATGTTCCATCATTTTGGTACACCGTGTATACTATCTTAGTCGAAGATGCGAGGTGAGTATTTTTTTCAGTCACATATTACAGAACAATCCTGTATTCAAATGTTGTTTTACTTATTTTACATCGTGCAATTTATTTTTTCAAATTTATGTCGCAAAAATTAAAAAAAAAAAACTAGTTTCGGCATTTGAAACGATATTAAAATAATTTCTATAGTTTACATTACCATTAAAATCTCACTTCACTGAAATATCACAATTTGGTGCCGTAACAAAGTGTAATAAAGGATAACATATTTTATTCGATAAACCGCTCAAATCGTTACTATAAACGATTACATTGAAATTCCTTCTAGAACCACGATTTTACTTACGAATTGCACAGTTAGAGATATCCATCCCTTTACCTTCCCATTTGTACTGGGATAGGCGTCATTTTTGACGACTATTTAGCGTAGTTTAGATTATTAATTATTAATTAACTAACAATAACTTTCCCTAATTATCGATAATTCTAGTTACTAACATTTCCGATGTTTTGCACTTTTCGAGATATGTAAATAAAATAACTGATATTTTAGACTGTCTACATTCTCAGCAAAATTGTCAGCTAATCTGTAAAGCCGTGCGATGATGGTTTAATGGAAGATTAAAGTCATTTTTTTGTTTATTTACACGTAGAAGAGCCGTGCCTTGATTGAGTACTTTTTAAAGGGACAGGACATACCTATTTACATCTGGTATGAGAGCTATCCAACTCACAGCGGCGAAGGCTATGAAGGGAGAGTTTCTAGAGTCTCCCCTGATTCCCCTTACGGCGCTGCATCACTTAACCTCACAAATATACGTGAATCGGACAAAGGCTGGTAAGTACACGATTATTTGGTTCGGTTTCATCAAATAGAGCGTCAAAACAATTGTAAAGGACGCCCGTAAATGTTAGATCAGTAGAACTTAAGGTTCGGGAACACGCTTGTATTACTTCATCAGAGAAAGCCCAGTTTCAATCCTTAGCTTGGAAACAAATTTTGAATGTGGATACTTGATGTTGAAAAAAGCACCACAATATTATTCTGTATAGTGGAAAATGGACCATGCAATATCAATGATTGATGACCAAGACTGATGAAGCTGGTGACGATAAAGGCGACAATAATATACAGGGTGTCTCATAATTAGCTGCCAACCCTGAACAGGCCGATTCTATTATCGAAACTAAGTAAAAAAGTTCATATGAACATGGGTCCGGAAATGCTTCCTAAGGGCACAAGGACCCATTGAAGAGGGAGGAATGGAAATCATTTTTTAGCAATATCTCTCAATCGCATTGTGATAAATGAATGAAATTTGGTATACACAGCTAAATTTTGATGAGCAATTTGATGGACTAATCCATTTATTTCCACAAGGTCCATTGGGGTGGGTACGGGGGGGCCCTTGGTACTTTGCGTGTGTAACTTTTTCATCTTTGACTTTTTAACAAATTGGACAGCAAATTCCGTTTTCCCGAACAGTTTTACGTTAAAAAGGTACTCTACTCAAAAAATAATAATAATAATTTTCCTTTCCTCTCTTTTCCATTTAAAGGATTAATTTTTATTTAATTTAATTTATTATTATTATTTTTTTATTGAAATTAGATTAAACTTAAACAAAAAAATTTTTTGTTTAAATTACTATGAAATTGACCAAAGTGGGATTAATTCAAGAGCAATTTTTTTAGAAACCGTTAAAGATAACGATTTGAAACAAAAGTACCTTTTTAACGTAAAACAGTTTGGGAAAACGGAATTTGCTGTCCAATTTGTTAAAAAGTCAAAGATGAAAAAGTTACACACGCAAAGTACCAAGGGCCCGCCCGTATCACCAGAGTTCCAGGAAAAGGCCCACGGCAGATTGGCGTCAGGAACTGAATACATATACCTGCGAGCGACTCCACACCAGGACCCTTCAACCAACGCTCGACCCGACAACATTTCTTCTCAGTAAACTTTGTTGTCAATAAAAACACTTTTATTTTACCGTTGAGAGATTTCTTGTGTAGAATAAAATTCTCTACCTATTTCTGATGGTTGCGTGTAAAAATTTAATCGTACAAAAAAGTTACAGAAGAATATTCACAAAGGGTTTGAACGCTTTGTATGATTTAACCTAACAGGAACATAATCACTGCATACTTTATGAAGAAAAACTAAGCAACAGCAAAGTTTGCTCAAATCGGTTAACTGGGTTCTGAGTTACAGAGAAAACAAGAAATAAAAAAGAAACTTTTAACACCCCGTAACATTTTTTGTGACATTTTTCGTTTAAACTAGTTTGGTTAAATCGACACCATTTGGGTTCTAGATTATACCCTTGAAGTTAGTAACATTCGTAGGTAACACCCTGTATATTTTTTTGCTCATCATTATTTCATACTACAGTTTAATATTTACATTTCTCAAGAGACAATAAAGGTGGGTTAAATTCTTTACGGATGAATAATTATTATGGAATCAATAGACAAAGCGTATACCAAATTTGGTACCTTATTTCAACTGATACTTAAAAAATTAACATGTCATCCTCAACCTGCTATATCTTCTTCAGGAGTCAGAATTGACCCCTTGTCATTTAAACCTTTAGAGTTAATTTAGTCAAGGAACACCATGTAAAACTTTGACAGTCAAATTAATGTATGTTCCTCAATGAGATCGATGTGTCGAGAACCAAAATTAGTTAAAAAAAATTAAATCTGAATCCATCCCTTCATTTAGGTACGAATGTAAGGTGGTCTTCCTCAACCGGTCGCCGAACCAGCACAAGAACGGAACGTGGTTCCATTTGGACGTGCACGCGCCCCCCACCTTCGTAGTGACGCCGGATGACGTCGTCTACGTTAACCTGGGGGACGCCATCATCCTCAACTGTCAGGCGGAGGGTACTCCCACACCTGAAATTCTGTGGTACAAAGATGCCAACCCCGTCGAACCATCGGCCACCATAGGTAAATATCAATTTGTTGCCGTTCCACCGTGTTACCATTTTTGTCATTTGGTTTTTCTTCTCGTATGCTGCACATGACTGTTTTAACGCACTCGTTTGTCGCCTGTTTACTTAGTTGGTGATTTTGTGCATTTTAAAAATTTTTTGCAATAATTGGTCTTGATTAGCAGAATTTACCTAAATATTTCATACGAATGTGCAAATATTGTATTTTGGAACAAAATTTTGGAAACATTCAGGGTTCTATCAAATTAAGAAATAGATATATTGGTACATAAGGTCCTAGTGAAAAGGTGACTAATATCTAATAAAATATAAGACTATTTGTTTCATTTACATTGAAAATAATTTTGAAAATAGCTGATGTACTGCTGAAAATAATTTGAAAAGTTGGAAATGCAGTGTCAGGGTGTCCCGATAATTGATACAAAACATCATGAAGCCTAAACAGACGATGTGACTGTTCAGAAATTGGTCAGACAGTCAGTTGACATCTGTCATAGAAGTCTAGCAACAAGTCTATATAATTTGTCCAGTATGAACTTATTTCATATCTGACATGATTATTTTTAGCTAAAACATCTAAGGGAGGTAATTTGTTACTGACCAATAATGACGATGTATTTGACTGATGTTTTTGGCGCAGAGGGTTAGTTCTTTATTTTTTTTTTCTTGACATAGAACCTGTGTGTTGTCCTGCAACAAAGACGGAGAACATTGCTCATCATTTACGAAAAATTGTCTATAACTATTTAAAACATCTAACTGGTAATCATCATATCATGGTGAAGAATACCTCTAGAATTGAAAAAAATATATGCAATCGGTCTTTATACCATCTTTGATGCTCCCCCGCCATCTTGGAATCTTGTGAACGATTTAGAAACATTTTTTCAGCTGATAACTTCATTTTTATTGTCTTAAGCAGTTTTTCGTAATGTAAACCAAAGTTTAACCGATTATATTAAAATTCGCAACTAATATACCAAACATCATAGCACTTTAACGCGTTTGGCTAAAAGGTTTCCTATTGTCCGAAGCATGCGCATTAAGAAATTATCGTTTCTACATGACAAATATCAAATTCTGCTTTACGTTCTGCATTCGTATTAAAAGAAATTTTATTAATGTTAAATGTAGGCAACATAGGAATATATAAAGCCAGCCTCCTTTTCAGTGGAGCACATCCTTACAAAAATATTAAAAATATGCAGTGGTTCGTTCTTACTATGCATTTTGCTACATATATTTATATGCATGTTTATTTGAAAATGACTGTATCTATTAACCAAATTTAATAAAAAAAGTTAAACAAAACTATGTGAAAACTAAGCGGAATGCAATTAACTAAACGATTAAAACACTCATGTTCAGTTTTATTCTCTTTTACCATTTCTGGCGTCATTCACGTTATTTTTGGAATCCTTCCTTCATCTAGTTGGCCCCTAGTCCAATCATGGTCTAGAAAAACACTGTTCATGTTGTGTAGTGTGTTCATTTTTCCCTGTAGGCGTTTTCAATGATGGCACGGAGCTGCGCATATCGAACATAAGACACGAGGACATCGGAGACTACACCTGCATCGCCAGGAATGGGGAGGGTCAGATCTCGCATACTGCCCGAGTGATTATAGCTGGGGGTGCCGTGATTATGGTAAGTGGTCGGAGAAAAATATTGCTTTCATTAAGTAATCTCTTCAAAAGTTCAAAAGTGTAGGTATTCCGGTTACAGCAGAAATTACTCTTTTATACAGGGTCTTGCATGACGTACTGGACAAACTTAAGGAAAAGTTCTTGAAGTAGTGCAAAAATATACTGGATATTTTTTAAGTATTCAAATATTCCATGTCGAAAATAAATACATATAAATTTTGGAAAAGAATTCAAAATATAGTTTGAAGAAAGTCAGATTTTAATTTTAAAAAAATTCTTTAATAGGTTTTGTAGTAAAATCTTATGTGATATATGTATAGTAGTTTACATTATTACTACCGAGTACAACTACTTGTATTAATTAACAATAGAGTTACGAATATAACGTGCTGATACGTCACTAAGTATGTTGAAGCTTTGAAATAACCTCTAAGTTTGAGAACACGAGTTAAAACAATATATGTATATTAATTTTTATCACCATCGAATTATAAAATTTATGTAGACGTGATAAAATTTAGTTGAAATATCATTTTAATATCAGCTGTACCAAACATAAAAATCACTTATTTAGATACCCCTTAAAGAGTTTCGATTTTTGGTTGTATACGCTTATGGCTTATTTTCAGGTGCCTCCGACCAACCAGACCAAGCTGGAAGGCGAGAAGGTGCAGTTCAACTGCGAAGCCAAAGCCCAACCGGGCAATGTGACTGTCAAGTGGTTCAGGGAAGGGGCGCCAGTCAAGGAACTGGCCTCCTTGGAAACGAGGGTCACCATCAGGAGGGACGGTTCCCTTGTAATTAATCCCGTCAGCTCCGATGATTCCGGGCAATATCTTTGCGAGGTCAGCAATGGAATTGGCGAACCTCAATCCGCTTCGGCCTATCTCAACGTAGAATGTGAGTTTATCGAATGTTGCCTTTCATAAATACTACCTCATGCTTTTCTTGAAGATCTTTGTTATCATATTGAAATGTACAACTTCAGTCATAAAATCGCCGTCTTTTATTATGCCTTTCTCAAGGCTAAAGATAAATAATACATTTATTGAATGAGTGACATACATTTTGTTTTTCCTCGTGTTTGTTAGTTTTGGAGAAGATATCCATATAATTATTAGGCTGTATTATCAAAGGCTTTTTTCACGATCCGCGCAGCGGCGAGTCGAGGGGCCCGAAGGGGCCCTCGGTCATTACTTCATCCAAACGTCGTGTTTTGAAGACGATCTGTTCGCGCTTTCTATGTGAAATTTTAACTTTAAAAAGAGTCCTCGCCGAAAATTGACTTTTTTCGGTGGGAAGGAGATACTCGAAGTCAGCGGACTTGCCTACCTTTCTAATTCTTAATTATAAGGTGGCAATCGCTTCCAAAAAAATTAAATAGCCTTGAAAAAGACGCAATAAAGTCTTCGAAACATCGGTAATTTTAAGCAAAGAGTGAAGTTGTACATTCATCGCCCGAAACTCATACTGAATCATTATCAGGGGTGTAATACTTTTTAACAATATACCCATAACTCAATTCCTCTTCTAGATCCCGCTAAGGTCACTTTCACCCCTACCATCCAGTACCTCCCCTTCCGGTTGGCCGGTGTAGTCCAATGTTACATCAAGGCCAACCCGCCCCTACAATATGTAACTTGGACCAAAGATAAAAGACTACTGGAGCCTTATCAGACTAAAGACATAGTGATCATGAACAATGGCTCCTTGCTCTTCACGCGAGTGAACGAGAACCACCAGGGCCGCTACACCTGCACCCCCTACAACGCACAGGGCACCCAGGGCAGTTCGGGGCAGATGGAGGTCCTGGTGAGGAAGCCGCCCGTCTTCACCATCGAACCTGAAGCCATGTATCAGAGGAAGGTGGGGGAAACGGTGGAGATGCACTGCGAGGCCCAGGAGGCCGAGGGCACCCAGAAACCGACGGTTCAGTGGCAGAGAAGGGACGGTAAGTGTTGTAGTTGGTTCTCAAAATCTACCTTTACTTACCCAAATACAAAAACAATATCTTTATACTCTAAAATGTTTGAAATTAACCCAGCTGCCATCAGTCAAAGTTTGTAGAACACTCTGTATAACATGATGCCTCGATATATTTTAAATCATTTTATTATAGAAAAGTCCATTTTTTTTCTACTGTAGGAAGCCCCTTGCCCAAGAACCGAGTAAAAATCGTGGGCGGCAACATCACCATCGAATCCCTCCGCCGTTCAGACTTCGGTTTCTACCAGTGCGTTGCCACCAACGAAGTGGCCACCATCATCACAGCTACTCAACTGGTGGTAGAGGGTACCCAACCCCACGCACCTTATAACCTGACAGGTACAGCCACCGAGTTCTCGGTTACTCTTAGCTGGCTTCCCGGCTACAGTGGCGGACCGGATTACAAACAGGACTATACCATTTGGTACCGAGAGGCGGGAGTTTCCGAGTGGTCTACCATTCCCGTGACGCCCTCAGGAAGCACCCAGGTCACTATCAACAGACTGGCACCGGGCACCACCTATGAGTTCCAGGTGATCGGGAAGAATGCTCTTGGTGATGGCATGATGAGTCAGATCATCACTGTTAGGACTCTTGGTGAGAAAAAAAAATTAATATACTAAGTTATATTTGTTTATGTTTATGTAATATTATCCTTCATTTTATAAACTAAAAGGACTGAGAAAGTGAGGTACAAATTTTCAGGTAACTACAGAAGGTGAAGGTAAGCGTGATGGTAATGAAGATAACTGGAAAAAGTGTTAAATGTTAACTTCAAAATAGATCGAGTTAAAATTTATATTTTTCAATTCTTTTAATATTGATGTCTTGCAAAATAATTGCGGAAAATGAAATGCGTAGTACCTGTTTTCAATTATTTTAGAAAATGGATTTTTGACACGATAAATTGTTCAAGAAATTACCATAATCTATATTTTTGGCACCTTGGTGGTTAATATTAAGGTCACTAACTTTTATTATAAAAATAAACACATATTTATAATGTATGCCAGAATATCACATCTGTTAAAAGTAAAGATGTAACACATACAGGGTGTCGAACAAGTGTACACATTTTAAAGGATTCTATTAGTTTAAAAAAAAAGGTGAAATTAAGCAGAAAAGTTAATACAAGTTAAACATGTACAGTTACGGTATTTATATTTTAAACAGTGTTGCAGTTTGAATTGTGTGGAAGTAGGTATAGTCTTTCCGAGCTCAATTGAAGACCAAAGATCTAGGCAGTATGTACCAGGTTCGGTCGCTACACAGCAACACGGCATTGAAATATTTGAAAAACTTGTTCACACATTTATTTAGCCATACCCATACACAGGTCTAGTCGAACTAAACGTAGAGGTGGTAGAAGTATATACGACCAGTTGAAGAATGGGCGCGCGGGCAAACTCCGCACAAACACAGCCGCACTGGGCGACTGGAACATAAATTTCAGTTGTTAACAAATTGCCTAGCAGTGCAGTGCAGCAATGTGGAATTATTTTATTAATTATTTTTATTTAATAACTTTTCTAACCTAAACTAACAACCTTTCCTCATCCTTTCTTGACGAGCAGTAATATATTTTAATGAAAAAGTAAAAGTTTTTTGATGTCATAACCAAAATTTACCATCAATAAAATAAAATCGTTTAAAGACATGAATAATTAAAATATGTCAAATGAACATATAATAGAAATTTTTTACACATTTTATACAAATTAATATTATATTTTTTACCGTTAGCAGAAAACTTTTTTCGGGACGCCTATGAAACTCATTAAATTTTATTGCTAGGAGTTTTTATACACGTTGAACTGACTTCGAAAAGACTATACCTACATGGAGGTTATGGTAACATTACCTTGGCAGGCTTATTGACTAAATAAATGTATTTTATAGTACCTAACTAACTGAAATTCCTTATTATTTTTCAATAATCAGCTAAGCGTTTATTTGTGTTACATTTGCCTTTTGAGTAATTTAATAGATCTTTTTAAATATTGCAATTTCAAACTATATAATATTTATAATATAATTTGCTAAAATTAAATTTTCAGTGGTTTAGGACCTTAATATTACAATTTTTTAAGTTCAAATTAGGATTATGATTATAGCATTTAAATTCATTTCAAAACACCTTTTAATCTCTTTCATTTTCATTAAGGTATTTTATTAGTTATTTTATGCAAATTTTGAAAACTTTTCTCTTTCTTAGATTCGTTATAAAATCGGTTTTTATAATTGCTCCTGATAGCCTATTCTAATTTAGTTAGAAATAGAATGTAATATTGTAGATTATTTTAACCATTTCAGCTATTACTTGAGCATTTTTCTTGGATCCGACTAATAATATTAATTAATAACACCTAATTAACCCCAAATCTATTACTAATAAACCACCCTGTATGAGTTTTGTGCATTATTTACTAAAATTTTAAACTAAATTGCTACTATTGCCAATTAAAGATTTACACATAATACATTTCAATTTGAAAAGAAAGTAGAACAACAATTTAAAATTATTTTCAATCAATCTTATTTTAGTTTTTGAAAATTGTAGTTTTTAGATGAACAAGTAATAAATATTCAACTTACTGCGTTTTAAAATTAACTTAGTTATGTACTGAATACGTCATAGCAATAGTATAAGAGTAAATACAGTAAATCATGTTTGTATTCACTGTTCAAGTAAACCACCTTGGCTGCTTCCACTGGTGTTAATACTGGTGTTACAAATGATTACGTCTTGAATAATGTAGCAGTTTAACTTTAAAACAACCCTATGTGCTTAGGTCCCTTTGGAATTTGATTTCCACCTGTAGATGATCTTCAAACATTATACTATTTTTAACAAGCTATTAACCTAACTACTAACAATGCTTATCTATTTGCTTCCCCTGGGATAGATGTCGGCTTACCGCACCCACAAATTAAAGCTACGCCAACCCCTTTTTTTACTCCAAACGATGACTCGGGTAAGAATTTTAATATAATGTAGGTATTTATAAGTTTAGATGTTGGTTCTTGGATAACTACATGCATTTTAATATTTTGCCAGGAAATTGTGCCATATTGCTTGGTTTGCTGGCTTCCGTGTCAACAGTTGAATATTTTTCGAGCTGGTTACCAGTCGTCAGTGATGACTTGGCAAGTAGCTCTGGAATTATTCATGTAATTGTACTATATTGGCAGCATCCTGTTGCAGATTATTTTAACAACTGTACATTTTTCTACAAACAAAATAACACAGACTGTTTACCAGATCGGAATCCGAATCTAAGGTCAGAATTCTCGGATCAGTTCGTGTTTCTAGAAACCACTTTCTAGAGGAGTTATCAAACCACGAACTGCTCCGATAATTCTAACTTTAGGTTCGGATTTAGCGTATTAAAATATGAGATACACTGCTCTGGTTTACGGCCCAGCCAACCCTTTGGTGATTGGTAAATGATACTCAATCAAGGATTTACCTAAACTATATAACTGCTTATATCTCATGGTTATTAATAATAAACTATTTCATTTCAGCGATTAACGTAATGTCATGTTCTAAACTGTTTACATATAACATATAGGGATAGGGTATATGAAACTGGGCGCGATTACATTGCTGGAGACCATCAAAAACTGATGGATGGTTAAATTAACGCAAAGTTGGGTAATTTAATGAGCGATAATTTCCTGGAGAAAAGGTATTCTCGCTAGTTGAGGAGAGAAAAGCTCCTTTTATAGCTGTAATTTTACCATTTTCAAGAACGCTAAAAAATAATAGGAAATAAACTCACAACTACAGTTCACTGCATGAGTCATTTCGTGGTCATGTAATTTCCCGTTTTGGTGATCAGATGTGGCCGTTCGCCTTTGGACCTTTTTCTTTGGATTTATTTGATATTTAAGGGTTATGCCAACAATACCACGACCACCCGTGTCTTGAAGAAGGAAATTGAGCGCCGTATCAACGAAATTCCGCCGCATTTATGCAAACTGCAAAATTTGCACATGTGCCAGCGAAGCCGTGAAGGCCATTTACCCTACATATTCCCTATACTGTATACGTTATGAATCAATAAAAAATTTTAACAATTTTTAAGTAAAAACCTGTGTTTTCTAACAAAATTACTTCATGTGTGAATTTTAGGACACCCTTTATATAATTCCACTCCATTTTACTACATGTTCATTAACTTTATTGATCATTCAAATTTTCTACATATGTGCTTGGTTATAGTATTACTGAAATTGCAATATATGTTTATTTTAAAAGACCACCACCTGAAGGCAGCTTGTCTCTAGTATAAAGCTCTAAAATGCTGAAAATCTGAAATTTTTTAAAAGTTACAGATTGAATGAGTTGAGATTTGCTTATGGTGTATTCCTAGGAGACCCTCGACCTTTGTACGATTTTCCGGCAGCTTAGGTACATTCTGCGGTTTATAAAATGGCTATTTGTAATATTCCGCAATTCATATATTTTTATTTTTATGCCTGAGAGAAATGGTTTTCAAAGAAAATTAAAGGCGACTTTTAAAACTGCATTCAGAGTGAATGGAAATTAAAATTACTAAGCAACTGGTTTTAGAATAAAAATGTTATGGCGATCAAATTTTTGCATTCTATATTTCGTATTGTTTATATATTAAGAGAAAAAAAAAGACATTTGAGTGTTTTTATAATATTGCTAGTGTCAGTAAATTATTTACCCAATATTTATCATCAAAATCTATACTAACCAAGGACATTTAAATACCGATGCAAAATGTATCTATTATTTCATCGTTATCTGTGTCGGCGTTAAATGAGAAGTCAGACGGGATGTGATTCATATATCTGTGGTCAGCTTCTAAATAAAAATAGTTTATAAATGTAATCTTGGTTGAGGAGGATGTAAAACTATCTGAATATTTCTATAAAAGACAGGAAACAATTTTTTGACATTCAGTTCAGTAGCGAATTGTGTCATATATGAATATTTTTCGAAATTTTGAGAAATTGAATTATATTTCGAAATTTTTATTCAATGTTCACAATTGCGTCATCATTTGAGTTAATTCTTCAAATATTTTTGTAATCTAATTTTGATGCAACATATTTTTTCTGTATATTCAGTAAAACTAATTTCTTCATTATCTAAATTCAGCGCAAACACTTTGAATCTTATGAATAAACAGAAGCATTTTGTAAAAGTAAAAGCATTTGGGTTCCAAAAAGGATTTTCCCAGATGCGTTATACGTTACATGCGTGCAAATCCTGGGCACTCGCTCAGGATATGCAGACAAGTTTCATCCACCAAGTCACATCCTCAGTAGACCGGACTGTCTACAAGTCTTAACTTGTATAGATGTTTTCTAAAGTGACAGTGTCCCGTTATAAGTCCCGTCACTTTCCTAAGCCGAACCAATGAAATCTGTTTCGGATGCCTTTCTAGCAAGTCCATCAGCTTTCTTATTTCCGTCAAAGCATTCGTGTCCTGGCACCCAACATAATCTAACGGTATCTGTGGTAGCCAGTTCAGTCAGCACATGTAAACATTCCCACATAAGTTTTGAACTTACCTTGTGTGTGTCTAAAACCTTAATTGCTGTTTGACTGTCAGAGAATATGTATATGAGTTTATGTTTATAACCTCTACGTTCATTCTCCGATAAACACGCCATTCTTGCTAAAATTTCTGCTTAAAATACAGTGGGAAACTTCCCAGTCTTGCACTCCGTCTGGGTCTGAGTCCGTATATTCACACACCCGTCCCCCTGGCCATTTTGGAGCCACCCATAAACCATACTAGGTTCCTCTTTCCAGAGTATCATTTGCTCTGATCCTCTATTTGAATCTGGATAACTGTTAGTGCACTACTAGTTTTTTATTCTGTTCATGGATGAAATGATTGATTAGGAATTACACATTTTCTTCATTAATACAGAAGTGTTATCTACTCTTACATGATTTAACAGTTTTCTCCATATTAAATGACATTTTCTCTATACTAAGGCAAATGCTTTTACTTTTAAATATAAAGCCAATACCTCCATATAGTATTATGTAGTAGTTACTGAAGTTACTAAGTTAGTAAAGGCATTTGCTACCTTTTATTCATGAGACCCTTTACAGTCATATGGAACTTATAAAACTAATTAATCTCATTATCAAATTATCCTTCAACAAAAGGTGGTGGCAAAATGTACTTAATCCAAAACTAATCTATAAATTTGATTGTATTTTTGCTAATACCGCTGCCACAAAATGTGTGGTGGAATTAGCTTCTCTGTTGTCGACTATTTTTAATTTATAATTAAATCCTTTGTTTGAATCAGATTACAAGGGGATTATTCGGTTTAATGTTTATGTATTATCGAATCGATGATATTTCCAAGTTTATTTTACAGATTTGTACAAACATTGGCGTGTTTACATTCCACCCCTTTCATTGATTCCAACTTCCAAGTACTGCTTGTTCTATTTATGGCCCTGTGTATTTCACTTAGTAGGTCACGGTTTCCAGTCCGGTGCTGCATGGAACTTTTTTATCTATTTACCAACCCTTCAGCGTACACTATCGTGACCGACTTTCGTATACTTTTTAAACGTTAAGGAATATTACTCATTATCCAACAATTTTTCTGTTTTTGTAGTTGATTGATGTTCATTTAAATCCTCTTCAGCTACTTGTGTACTACCATAAATTATTTTGAGGAAGTTTTAATGCAGTTGGGGATATATTTTGGAATAATAAACGTTGAGTGCATTGTAAGTTTAATCTATGCTAGACGTTGGGAACTATGAAAGTGCCTGCTTTAGATGTAACGGGATTTGCATTAGCATAATATTAAACTAAAAGTTTGTTCTTTAATGCCCCCTGAAGAGAACATATTTGGAACACGTTTAAACATTTACCAGGTTATTAAAAATGGAAATGCAGAACGTTAATAAAAGGTTTTTTAAAGTTTAAGAAAATAAATGTTGATTCGGCGGCATACTCTTTATTTGTGTGAAGCTAGCTTTTGTTCCTCAGATGTATGCTACAAAGAAGCTTTAATGTAGAATCTCGCTGTAGGTATTATAGCAAGAAGTGTCCTATGAGCGTGGGTTCGAAAATCTTTAGTAAAAAAGTTACGGCGAAACATTTTTGATTATCGATTACAATAATCTCATTACACAGTAGCGGAGACTCAATAACGCAAATAATTGAAGGTGCTTTTTATCTAAAACAAACATTGTGTTATTGAGATAATAAATTCTTCTTCTGTACCTGTCGACAAATTTGTATCAAGCACAAAATACTTAAATATTTGAATTTCTCCAATAGATACCATAGCTCTAAACTATAAACGAAGTTATCAGCGACTTTGCGTTAAATATTTAAGACGTGAGCAAAATATTTCTTTCTCTGGGATGCTTCCAACTGTCTATAGTATCCCACGATTATGCCATGATGAGGAAAATCGTTTTTTATTTGTAAATATTCCATATCCTTTAAAACACTGTTGTCTTGTTTATACTCAAACTCTCAAAAATATAACTTCTTGATTTATCACCATGTTGATATAAAAATCAAAAAACAGCTGCAGAAACTTTTATAAATTACATTTTCTCATAAATAAAAAAGTTTTTTCCCTTCAAGATGTAATCGTGAAGACGCTGTATGTGTAAAATTGGATATAACCAGTAACGTCGAAATTAAGAGGGTCTGAGATGTCTCAATTGTCAAAAAAGATATTTAACGTTGAAGAAAATCTTATAAAGATTAAACTATTGCCAACTAAAACACAAAGGCTTGTCAAATCCTTTAATATATTGGTTGTAATAATACCTAAAACAACGTATTGCTTTGAATTGTCTGAATTGTGGAATATTCATAATTTTTAATTTGATATTTTAATAAATGTTAAAAAATAAGAGAAAAGGTAAAGTGTAGCCATGATTCCTGTGTCAAAAAAAAAAAACCTGTTGCTAATATGAAATCGTGATTCCATTTTAACATTGTAATATAACACCTCACAATATTTTTAGTCTGTAAGAATTTATTATTTAATTGACTATATAACGTTGATCTGTAACTAACTGAATATGTATTATTTTCCATATTTTCTTGTAAGCATTCCATATTTAAGATCCCAAATATTTCATACCATCCTACCTTTCTGTGAGTAAAAGTAAAAACTAAGAAAAAAAAATTCCTTTGTTTTTCTCTTATCTTTCGGTGGGGCAATTACTATCAAAACAAAATTAAATAATTAATTTACAAACTCATCTTAATGTTAAATTATTGGAAAAAATAGGTAATAATTGATAATTTTGCAAAGAAACAAAATTATTTTCTCGTAAAGATGAGATGATGAACTGCAAATAAGCCAGATTTTCTGTTAAACCTTTTTATCATATTGTTATTGGTATGCTGTTAATAATAATCATATTGTAAATATTATCCTGCATGGACATGACTAAATGTTATTGTTTTAATTTTGCCCTATGTTCTTTTGAGTAGTGCAGTGCATGTAAAGCGTCTTGTTTATTTTCAGATATTTTAGATTATAGCAATATTGTTTTGCCTACTGATTCTAGTGGAGCACCAATTTTACCACCCATCTTCAGACCCAAAGGTACAGTGTTCCTATCGTTTTTAACTTTAGCTTCAGTCATTAGCTCTAAGCGTAGAATTTAAATTGTTTGCATGTAGGACTTTGACTATTTAACTATACAATATGGCTATGGCCAGTAGACGTAGATGTGTTTAACGTGATTGCAGTATGGTTAGATAGATAGATTGATAGTTATACAAAGTGTTCAGTTATTTTCAAATTTTGGTGGCATAAAGTAGACTTAAACCCAAGATTAAAAAACACGAAAATAGGCAGATCTTTATTTGTTTCTAACAAAAAGTAAATATGCATATTTTAAATTAATAAAACAAATCTCATTTGACATGTCAATATACTCAAAATACAATTTTGGCTTATTTAATGTTAGTGTTTAGCAAAATTTGAACAGAACACTTTGTATACAGGGTCGGAAAGTCCCCATGGTTCATCGTTCAAATAAGAAGTGGATCTTATTTGAGGAAGGGCGAAATGGGCGGTGACTATTAGACGCCTTCATTATAGCCATCTTTCTCTATCGCACGGATTTCTATGACTTTCTTTATCGCTCTCACGTAACGGCCGATGAACCATGGGGACTTTCCGACCCTGTACATATTTACGTGAACTAAATTAAATGGTTCTTTTTAATATATGTGTTCCATGGTATATTTTCACAATTTTGCATGAAATTCTAACAGTAATGATAACAATTTATAGTTTTAATAATTCTGCATGCTTTGATATTTCAAACACTTCTGTGAATTCAATTGAAGTTAAAAACTTGAGAAAATTATTTTGAGAATAACGAACTTGATTTATGATAATATTATTCCTTATATTATTGTACTCTAACATCAAATATGTAGTCGCTAAAGCCTTGTCAAAATATTAAAATGCACTTAAAGTAACTCAGTTCTTGCTAAAAAAGCTAAGCTAAAAACTTTTAAGCACCTTAAAAATAGACTACTAATATTTATTGTGTTGCCAAAAATTTTTATTTAAATTTATTACATATAAAAAAAGACAGTATTGAGATGTGTTTGGCAATTGTTTCTGTACCTTTGACAACCAAATATATTGTGGGTACACATGCCGCAAGTGACCCATTTTTAGCGCATTATAGCGAACGCACGAACCGACAACACGTCTTTTTCACGAACTTAGTTTTCAATAAAAATACTTTATTTTTACCGTTGAGAGAGCGTTTTATTTTACTGTACAGCGAAAGCAAGCATGTGTAACCACAATATGTTTTTGAAACATGTTGGAGCCATTAGTTCGGTGGGAAAATTTTATATATTGCGGAACCGCAGAAAGTGAGTTTTCTCTCATAGTTTACAAAATTTCAACAATTTAAGTATAGACTGTCACATACTGCAGACTTGTTAAGAATATACCTACAATTAATCAATTTTTTTTGAAGGAGTAGTCATTTTAAGGTGCCCAAAAGTTCGTACTTACCCCTACCTGCTTCTGCCCTGAATAAGACGATAAAAAAGCAGGTGTTATTTAATGAATTGCAAAGTCTACAATCTGTTATCAGGACCAAAACCGGGCATTCCCAGAAACCTGACTGTGACGGAAAACAACAACGGCTTCCTCATATCCTGGATGCCCCCCTTGGAGAGGGCCAATCTCATCCAGCACTACGTGATCAAGTACAGGACAGACGGTCCTTGGAAGATCCTGAACAAAGGCCAAATTCGGCCTGAAGAAACTAACTATCTGGGTAAGTATTTAGTAGCTATTGCAACAACTATTTCGGTGATGACATGTCCTCTCTTTCACAACGTTTTATATTTTCCAATATCTAATACACAGGGTCGCTGATATGTATGGAAACGATCGATTATCTCCTAAAGTAAGAATCATAAGGCACAAACGTTTTAGGTTTTTTAAAATATATTACAATAAAGAAAAATTAAGTATACAGGAACAGTCAAACAGTCATGACGAAACAAAGTTGCTTTATCTTTAATGGAACACCCTGTACATTATTCCATATTTCAATTCCTCTCAAAATTCTAAACAAAATTCATACAACACATGTACCTAAACTTAACCGTTTTTAAAAAATATTTTAAAATTTTGGGGACCGCTGTGTCGTAATTCCGATATACTCATATTTGGAAGAATTGTAACTCGAAGTGATTATTTGCTCGCATGCTTTCCACGTACATGGCTTGCTCAGCCCACGATCATAGTGACTGGTTTGCACAGATTTCCACACTAAATCGCTCGCTGTTTTTAAATTGGCTATTAAAATGGACGTTTTATCGGGCATAATTAAGCATTATACTACCAATTAATAAATTGCCATCATTCCATAAAACTGTTAATATCGACACGTGGGTTGAAGTTCACTGTTATTGGCCAGTCAAAGAACGCTAAGAAATTTTTTTTGTCTCGTTTGTGTTAAATCTAGCTATATTTTTCATTGACGATTGAAGATGTTAGTACTTTTTTAATACTTCTTCCCATTACTTAAACGAACAGAGATACCGGTCCAAAAAATATGCAAATAATGATTATTATTTTAACAGTAAAAGAAACTAAATAACTCCACCGGCTCGTTTTTTAAATTTAACTTAAATTTGTCATGCAATAACACAGCCACACAAAAAAAAGTGGTCCGTACTTTTCATGCGACATATGTTATCCGCAATATTTTTGCTTCCTGATCACGAATCCGGTATCAGAATTGAGCTATCACATCACAGAATTTCCTAACCTGTGTAACTAACGAGCTGTCAACAAAAATAGGTATTTGTTTTAAATAGTCAATGAAAGGGAAATCACGCCACTTTCTACTACCACTAATTTTTTGTACTAGTACATAAAGTAAATATTTTAAGGCAAAATAGTATTATTTGCAACTAATTCCGCAAATAGCACTTTTCACCACATGTTGCCCACCATACTTTTACTGCGCCTGCAAAAATATAAACATTTTTATTTAATAGTACTGAACATTAAGAATATTCAGTAATTAAGTTAGATTGAAACTAATTTGAAGCGCATTTATAAGTAGACACTTAGATTAAAATAATAATTTTTTGTTACTAACTGTAAGATCAAGTAATGTATAATGTCATCTAGATAATATATTGGGAACCGCTGATTATATGTGTGAGATATAAAAGAAGTAACCTAACAGTATATTCTTAGATTCTAAGAAGTAACTTTCAACGCTTGCTTAATTGTAAAATTGGAAAAGTGAAAAGTGGATAATGAACGTAATTCCTAGTTATTGTCATTCTTTAATTAAACTGACCAGACTCTTTCAGTGATATTTATTCTGTGTATAATAAACCTTAAATTGCGTGGGTAAGTAAAATAATATTCACCTCATATCGTTTATAATAAATTTCAATACAGTTGTAACCTATACGATATTTTTTTTCTATAATAGAGTTACCATTATTTTTGTTTTTTTGGAGCAAAGTAAATAGCAAAGAAAATTGAATAAAATTTAAAGCAGTATCTAATTTTGTCGCACAATATACTGAGAAATTATTTATTTTAAATATTTGGAATTGTTTTAATAAGAAATTATAACAATTGTGTGCATAAATGACAAAAAAAAACATTAATTTTATCTTTTACAATTTACAAAACAGTTTTGAAATAATAAATTGAGTAGTCATTTTAAACAAATTTAATATCTGGCCTTGAATAAATTATTATGAATTCTGCTGCTGTTTATTTCAAAAGATGTGGTGTTAAATTTTGTATTATTATTATTTTTAATGACAAGAAAAGGGTTTAAGTGATTTTATTTAAATTTTATACGCACAGCTTTTAATACTCATGTTCAATTTTTGTTTATAACATTTTTGTATGGCATTTCTAAAGTATATAGGTTATACAAATAAAATGAACCTCGACCTAATGCCGTACAAAAATAGTAATACCAGAAGCCAGGAAAATTTTTGATTTTCTGAAAATTTTGGCCCGATTTTTGGTGATTTACTTTTTTAGTGACGCCGTACGTATCTGCTGATACAGGGATTAGAAATAAAGGGCGCAACCCTCTATTTGAGCCCCCATTGTTTCAAGTCATCGAAAAATGTACGACATATATTCCACATGATTATTTAACTCTCCAAATAATTCTTAGCAATTCTTATGCCGTTATGGTTATGGTTAATGCAAATGTTTATAAACATTTATTATTTGTATTTTGGAATTGAGTTTTATTTTTTTTTCGATAAGATCATTAATAAGTAAAAAAATGCCGTACATTTTTAACTAGTGGATTTTACATAGCTGATAATATTTTTCATACATTTTTACTACATATTTAGGTCAATAATTTCATTTTTAATTTTTTAATTTCATCAGAAATATGACATAAAGAATGAAAATTGCAATACCGTACATATTTGTTGGAACAATTCTCCGACACTGCATAAGTTTTAAGTTAAATGAGTTTTATCCTAATTTCAAGAGAAATTTAATTTATACCGTCGAAATTATGGCATTATCTTTAAGATTAAAAAAAATTGTGTATAGAGAATCGAGAAAATATTTTGAGAAATTTAGAAACTTAATAACGTGCAAGAAAGTATTATTTTTAAATAAATATAATAATAAACAATTAATTTTAACTCAATATTCATGAGAATTCCTATACTTACAATTAAAATAGTAATATAATATATGTTTTGAAGTAACAGAACCCTCGCATTTGCATATTTGCAACTTCTGTTACAATTCTTTGAACAATGTATTTATGTAAAAATTGTGATGAAGCCATTGGCATACAAATTTAATTTAATTTAAAATTAGTAAAAATAATTTAAAAGTGCATTTTTTACAACTTTAAGATTGTCGGTTATAAACATGAATAAAACCACATAAAAATGTACACGCCGAAAAGAAAAAAGACAGAGAAAGAAGAAGTTTTGATGGCCAGCTATTATAATCTCGAAGCGGTAATTTTAATTTTAAAATAAAAATAATTCCAAATTTTTTAAAAATTTTTTGGATTTTGAAAAAATTTTACATATGTACTTGTGAAAAAAAATATATGTTTTCCAAATTTATAAAATTAATAATTTTTATATTGACCTATGTTTTTTTAACGGCATACTACATAAAAATTATTTTACTTCTTAAATAATGTTTTAGCAACAATGCCGACCATTTTTCAATGATAGGAAACCATAAAGGTCAGAATAGGGGTTTGCATTACTGAAAAATATTTCTATAGGATACTGTAAGTCTTATTATAGAAAGGCCGTAAAGTAGTAAATAATTTGTATTAAGGAGAAAATAGTAGTAAAAATAAAATCAATTCTTGCAAGTAATACTTATTTTCAAAAATATATTTTAAGCCATTTAGAACCATTTTTTTGTACGGCATTTTGTTTTTGTTGATTTTTCACCGTGAAATCCTACTTTTCAGAGGGAAATCAAATTTCCTATAGTAACCACATGTTTCATGAAAAATGTACGGCATGGCCAAATATGTCATTATTTTATAAAATAGAATTAAAATTACTTACAAATAGAGGGTTGCACCCTGTATTCCTAACCCCTGTATCAGCAAGTACGTACGGCGTCGCTTTAAAATTTATCTATGTGTCGATCCGAAACTTGCAGTATAAATGCCGTAATAAATCAATAAAACCCGGGCCAACATTTTCTAAAAGAAAAAAAAAAAACAAGAAAAGCGGCCATGCGGGAGCCTCGAAGCAAAGTATATTCTGTGTCTCTAGACATTATTACAGATTAGTAGGTCACTCTTTGTTAGTAGGTATAACACAAAACTTTTGTGCAAGTAACCATTAAGTAACAATTAAGATGTAGCTAGTCCATACATTCAAAATCGATGTGTCTGATGATTCAATGCTGGACAGGGCTGTAGTCTGCAGAGTAATTGTTTCCCACAAAACCATTGGTTAAAACTAATTTATATTGACTCTTTTAATACTAATCCTAAGTGATTTTTGCTGAATAAACGTAAACCTATGAAGCAAAAAGGGATCATTAGAAGGACACATTGTATATTCTATGTTCGTGTGATATTCAGGTATAATTTCTAAATATTTTAATATTTCTCACAAAACTCAAACACTATAATCTTAAATTCAGTTAAAATTTTATTAGCTTTCAACATTAACAGTTCTACAATTTCCACTGTTTCAGTGAAAAACCTGGTAGGGGGCCGCACCTACTACTTCCGGATCCTCGCCTACTCCGCCAATAGTTACGAGAGCAGCGAAGAGGTGAAGTTTTCCGTGCCGGCGCGCGTCAAGCACAAGGCCATCACAGCCGGCGTTGTGGGTGGCATCCTCTTCTTCATTGTGGCCATCATCCTTTCGGTATGTGCCGTCAAGATATGTAACAAGCGAAAGAGACGGAAACAGGAAAAGGGTATGTACTTGCTGCCTAAGATGAACGGGTCAACTACAGCTTTGATACGTTACTTAATCTATGCGGTGTCCTGTCCGAAGACTTTATCGGCCTATTTCTTTGTTGGTCCAAACGATGTGCTTTTCAAATTTTGTGAATGTCTGGAACACAACTAGTGCCGAAGTTCATAAAATCAGTGCAAGAACCGCAATTCCCACATTGATTTTAATCTATTTCACATCATTCAATGTTTCAACTTTATATGTACGTTTCTTAATAAAATAGGACAGTTGTCATCTGAGATTTACGCTTAGTGTACCCATCTCCTTCTGAATTTATTTCCATTCTTTCCCTCATTATTACAGACTCCAAGACAACTCTAATTATTATCTATTTTATTTATAATTTTCTATGTACAAATCATTTATGGTTGTAATTACTATAGCAGCATCTGCATACGTAGTAATTCACTTACAGTAAACATTATTTTCTTTATCTCTGGCCAATTCTGTTTCCGCCACTTCAAAATAAGATTGACTGCATTGAATGGTTCTTATAGTTGTAAACATTGTATGTGCCTGTATCATCTGTATAGAGCTGATTTGATTTTCTCATCCTCATCCTAAGATTTTGCTAATTCCAAACTACTTTAACAATAACATTCCGACTTTTCTAAGTGGATATTGTCTACTCTTTTTATAGGTATAGAACTTAGGACAAATTATTATATACAAAACAGCACGACACTGCAGATTGCTGTTCATATTATTCTGAAGTAGTGATATATTGACCATAAAACCAGGGGTTAATAGAACATCAAAAATGACCATATACCAAGAACCTATCTTCCTTTGTATTTAAGATACATATATCAAAATACTGATAGGTATATTCAAATTTGGCTTAGGTTTTTGAGGGTGCTAAATACCTCAACGTTTTTATTTTTGACCATTATCGGTCCCTAATTGTGACCTTACTTCGGTGATATTTTGTGGCATAACATTTTTGAGGGAGATTTTGTACAGGGTGATTCACTATGTTTTGACCCCCCCTTTAACTTTTTTGTTTTAAAAGTTATCAAAAAATGTGAAACACAAAAGTTGCACGATTTTTTTATGAATTTTTCGAAAATGATGGTTGAAAAACAATTGAAGTCCAAACAAAATGGCCGCTGATGTTAACTTTGCTAATTTAAATAAAACACTCTGTATATTTTTACATATTTGGATAGAACGTTCCCTGTGGAGCATAGTCATATAAGGTTTGTTGGGTCCATCTCTAACAGTAAGCGAATTACTATTAAAAAACGAAAAGAAGGTGTTTTATTAAGAAAATAATACATTTTATAATTATTGTTAGACCTCTTTCAGGCATTTCTGCCTTTTTTCTATTTACGTAATTTGGAATTAAAATATAGAGTATGAAGAACTTTATTTCAATTTTCTACTTCTCTATAACCTATTTTAATTAACTAATAATACAAACTGTCTAACAATGGCATTGTTGTTATGACATTACCTGTCACTGTCAAGGCCTACCATATAACATTGTCCACGAATTAAGCCTCTCACGACCTAATTAGTGAGATTTAGTTAAAATACCTATACGCGATTTGGACCATATCAATGTCCGATATGTCAAAATATATTACAATTAAATCTGTAAATCCTTATGTAATTGCAAAAACGGCAGAAATGCCTGAAAGGTGTCTAACAATTACAATATATCTTATTTTCCTAATAGAAAACCTTCTTTTCGTTTTTTAATAGTGTCTCGTTTATTGTTAGAGATGGACCCAACAAACCCTATATGACTATGCTTGATAGTGAACGTTCTATCCAAATATGTAAAAATATACAGGGTGTTCAGTTTAAATTAGCAAAGTTAGCATTAGCGGCCATTTTGTTTGGACTTCATTTGTTTTTCAACTATCATTTTCGAAAAATTCATGAAAAATCGTGCAACTTTTGTATTTCACATTTTTTTATAACTCTCAAAGCAAAAAAGTTAAAGGGGGGCCAGAGTATAGTGAATCACCCTGTATTTTACATAAAATAGGCACTGTTGTTGTGTGTCCGAAACAGATTGGCCAACGCTCTCTATCCATAGGTGCTAGAGGTTGTCAAAGTTGGCACAAAAGTTTTATTTTTTCTTCAATTTTAAAACTCTGTAAGATTTAAATGATAATATTTTTGGCATAATAACTGACCTAATTGTATTTACAGAAATGGGCAAAATACACCCACTTCGAAACAAATGTGCTCAATTATTCTTAGCAGGTGACCTAACAACTTCAGTTCTTGTTTTACCAGTAAGATACGAGCTTTTTCTCGTTTTAATTTGTTAGTCCTTTTAACAGTTTTAACATAATAAGTTTATTAGTCATTTCCAATACAAATCTGATTTAACCAGAATAACATAACATCAGCTTTGTCGTGCTAACGTGTTTATTATCTGCAATATTTTTTTATAATTGTAATAGACCGACCATGTCCATTCATTCTCATTTTCCCCAGTTTTACAGGTTTTAGTAAGTTGCCAAAACTTGTGGGAATGCGGTTTTTGCTAACTGAAATTTTTCAAATTCACAAAATTTAATCGTTGCGTCGTTAGTTAACATTAGAAGTAAGCAGACAAAGTCGGATGGGACACACTATGAACAGTGTAATTGTTTTGCGTACAGTTTTGCGTTCTCTTTCAGCGTACAACATGGTGGCTTGTCGAATCACGGACTCTAGAAATGGGGGTAACGCCGATAGTCAAGTGCCTTTGAAAAAGTGAGTCTTTTTATTGCAATTATTTGTGTCCCTACTGAAACAGAAAACGTTAATGTTTGTCAGACTAACTTTCAATTCCTTCTAATTGTCTCAAAGATGAGTTTGGATCAAAAAAATTTAGGAGATTCCTCACTATAAAAAAAATTGGATATCTCTGTTCTTTTAAGAGGCCCAGTTTTTCTTGTATTTCTGTTTTGTATGATTCTGTGATGTCTGACAACTCATTTGAAAACGCATCTATATTAAGAAGTTATACATTTTTTTGTGAGCAATGGAATACAATTTTGTGCATTTAAAAATAGATATACAAGGGGTATCCTAGGACTTCAATAATTTCCAGAGTCTGTACATGTTCTTTTTGACTCTATAATGTCAGGAACAGAGTTTGCCCAATCCAAATTTTTTAGATAGACGGTGTTTCCGGTTTTTTAATTTTACAGTTAGATTCCCAAAACTAAAAAAGTGGTACTCTGGTTAATGCTTCAATTAGATAAAATTAACGTTTTTTGAGAAATATGCAATATTAGATTTTAGGAAAGTATAAATTCTTAATATGTTTTCAAAAGACATCACAGAAAATCTGAAAAAACGAAAACTATTCTTATCTGTAAAACATATAGTAGATATTGATTCCCAATTTTCAATTTAACTTGGTTTTCTGTAAATCACCATTTATTATAGTGAGTATTTAAAGTTTGGAACAAATTCAATAGTATGTGTGTCACTTATAGACTCGAATACCACTTGATCGATTGAGCTCAAAATGGGTTAAATATTAGAAACAGTTATTGCAGTTTTTCAAGTTACTTATAGATGCTAGTCCCAATTAATCGACTATCGATTTTCTTCTTGTATTTGAACACACATGTTAAAGTCTTTCCTAAGACAGTTGAACACATATAAAAACGCCTAGTAATAAAATTTTATGAGTTTCATAGGCGTCCCTAAAAAAGTTTTCTGCTTAAGGTAAAAAATTATAATAATTTGTATAGAAAGTGTAGAAAATTTCTATTATATATTCATTTGTCCAAAAACATATTTTAACTATTTGTCCTCAAACAATTTTATTATATCGATGGTAAATTTCGTTTTGTTCAAAATGTCCCTCTTATTTCTCCCCTTTCGGAATATGAATGATTAATAGAAGATGCCTATAATAAATTAAAATTACCTGAATCACACCAAATTCCGCATTGCTGCACTGCACTGCTAGGCAATATGTCAGCCAATTGTCAACAGATGAGATTTATTGCCCAATCGCCCAGTTCGGCTGTATGTGTACATGTCAGGTTAGATTGAATTAGATTAGGTCATGTATTTTTAATAAAATTTACAATTTTTAATTCATACTTTCGTGATATCTTTTTTTATATTTTCGTCATTTCACTTTTATGCCTATGTCCTATTAAACATTTTCTCGAATTTGTTCCAACCTTTAGGTGCGCACTGGATATGCTGTCTAGCTGTAAAAATGCAAGAAGAGAATCAGATTTTTGCAAAACACGCTTGAAAGTTATGCTGAACAAATATTATCTGCGATAATGAGCTCTAGGTTAAATATCTCCTCTTATAGGACGGTCGAATCCGAATCCTACCGTGATTACGAGAGCGTTTTTATAATTCCTGGGACAAGCGTAGACACAAACCGTAAGCGTCAGGCGTAACGATCTCGTTATACTGTGCGATAACATCGCAACCCTCCGTGCCCCAGCACACTTTCCGAGATAACCTAACGTATGCTTTCGGTGACCAGTTATCGCATTTCGTAACGGGATCAGCGGAGAGAAAATAATAGTAAAGGAAAGTGTCTAATCCACTGATTTTCCATGATAATCTACTTATCTCTGTTGCATACCGACGGGCCAATCAGAACTTGGTATCCGTAAGGGAGGTAAATTTAAATATCATTGTAGTTCACATAAAATTTGAACATATGCTTAAATTGCAAAAGAAGTAATTTTTTATGTTATACACCAGTGCTCGACTTCGAAGTTTAAAAAAACTCCTTTTAAACTTTTTAATACAGCTTCCCTAAATTCCAAAATAGTCATTCATTCATGATGTGGAAAACAACTACTCTGTGGACTATAGCTTTGAGAATTACACTATTCTAGCACAGAATTACACCTGCAATATTTAGTAAACTGTTAAGGCCATTCGTCAAAGGAATCATACTTTCATAGGACTCACATACTAGTAGGTTACTCTCTGCTAGTAGGTTCAAAGCAATGACCTTATTAAGTATTTTTTGTTGATCTATCCATTTAAATTTCAATTTCTCCTACATGCTAGTTTTTCATAAAATTTTACAGATATTTAGCTAGATATATCTCATATGATAATAATGTTAGGTCATCAGTTTTTGTACGGGTTCTTTTATAAACGCATTTTGTTTTGGTAATTAAATGACTTTTCGTTAGCGTCGTGTTCCTCAATTCATTATCATTTATTTTTTGCTCACTAATTTGCGAATAAATTGATAACAAAAAAAGATATCGAACCCTCAAAATGTAGCTCTTCAAACTAACCTATAAAAAGTTTGATCCTGCTATTTCACTTTTTTAAGAAAACGTGAAACAACCTAAACTTGGATAAATAGCGCCAATAAATAAACAACACTTTCGTTAGAAATTTCAAACTTATACTGTATGCATCAATTTTTTGTGCTGAATTCATTTATGAAAAGAAAACTGTAGTATTACATTTAATATTTTTGAGAAAAATCCATAAACGGCATTCTGTTAAAATAACGCCATTTATAGGTTTCCATATTGAGATAAATGACATTACGCATTCACCTCGAGATAAAGCATGAAAAGACCTTTCCAACGAGATATTACACTATGGGCTTTTGATGAGCCAATCCTTAAAAGAATGGATTTTTCTGATCAGACATTAGGGGCTTCCCCCACCCTTTCTGTCGAGAGATAGAAAAAAATGTCAAAAACAAAAGTTATGCGCAATGAATTCAACTTTGTTTTGGTATGTAGATCGCGCCCCCTAGCAGCTGAGCTACGAACTTGAAAACTATTTCCAATGATAGATTACCAAATTTTTTTCCTGAAGTCCTAGGGCCTATACTTTCTCTAATATCATACCTCGCCGACCTTAGTGGGACACCCTGTATGTTACACCAATGTTTCGAACTCTGCTTCGGAGAAAAACTTTTTAAAACTTATAGACAAGTTTTGAATGTCGGTGAGATATAACCTATAAAACATATGTCATATGTTATATCTTAAATGTAATGCTTACTAGCTTTAAGTGAAAGATAAAAGTTACTCATACATATTTCTCATAAAACCTTGTATAAATCCTATTTCTATTTTTTATTTAGGTTAAATTAATAATAGTATCGGTTGCCTCTCAATTGTCAAATGATTCTATGAATTTGATTGGTCCGTAAGTGTGGAACAGAGACTGTACTATGTTTCTCATAAATAAAAGATAAAAAGATAAGTATATTTGCAAAATATTGCTGTTGTCTCTATCAATTGGACAGTCTCGATTACTATTGTTTTCTCTCTGGGGATCAGCGATAGATACCTGTAGAGTGGGGGCGCTCGGCATCTCACGCATACCGCTCGCCCCCACTTAAGTGTGCTTCATTTGTTCCTGGAATGTTTGATTGGACTTAGGGTCCGTCTTTCTGTGTAGGTGCATTAGATCTATAGACTATTATTACTACACCTGCAGCCGCGTTGAGTTATTACCGAAAGTTTACATAGGTATGTGTCGGAGATTTCTCTATTTATTTACATGGTGGTCCGGAATGGTATGTCGCAAAACATATTGCGGTAAAAGCATTAAAAACTATGAACAATTTCTTAATAAACCTTTGGCAGGTTGTGCCTACTTACGGAGGTAGGTAAAGTCCTGGAAAGTTCTAAAATAGAATATGAAATTTTTTATTAATTTTGAAAGATTTTAAATCTAGAAACTTGCGGATATATACAGGGCATAATTTGCTGGACAAATTAGTGGTAGTGGTATTTTTATAAATAAAAAATTAAAAAAATAAAACACCTTGTACAATTCTTGAGATTAATTAGTATATGGTTTTAAAGCTAATCACAATTTTCGATATCTTTACGGTTTTTATTTCATTTTACAGAATTATTTAGAGTTTTCACAACATTCTAGTTAAACCACGAAGACGGTGAAATATGTTGAGTAATACGGAACCAACAAAACAAATCGAGAACTGACGGAAAGCCGGTGTGTCGCATTCGCCCTGTTATCTTTGAAGTATGAACATGACAACCCCCATCTTATATCAATTATTACAATGTACTACGTTGTGTTATATTAAAGAGATATTGTGAAGAAATTTTTTAATAAATTTGCTTTGGTTTCACTTTTGTTTTATTTAAAAAATAAAATTTCATGAATTTTTCTTTCATTGGTACAAACTAAAACTAATAATTAAAATCATAAAATACAAGTTAAACTAGTGTTCAGGTAATTTGGAAATAATTCTGTGGAAAAGTCTGGAACGAGAGAGAATTGCTTTGATAAATTTTTTGTTAAAAAAACATTACCCTCTCAGTCCAGCCTAGAACGGTAGGGTAGTAAATCCACAAAAAATCGACAAAAAACACTATTTTATTTGAAGTTTAATTTGAACTTTTTTGTTAAACCTAGACAAAAAATGAAACAAAAAATTTGGGTGGGAGGCGGAGGGGAAATTTTTTATAATAAAAAAAAGAGAGCAAAAAATTTAACAAAAAAGTCATCGCTCTTTTCCATAAAATTTGATTGAAATTAGTGTTTTTGTTTTTTGTTAAAAATTGACAAAATATGGAACAAAGAATTTGGTATGGAGGCGGAGGAAAATTTTTGTTTTTTGTTAAAAATTGACAAAAAATGGAACAAAAAATTCAGTAGGGAGACGGAGAGGAAATTTTTTATAACAAAAAAGGGAGCAAAAAATTTAACAAAAAAAACACGCTCTTTTCCTAAAAATTGAACTGAAATTAGTATTTTAGTTTTTTGTTAAAAATTGACAAAAAATGGAACAAAACATTCGGTAGAGGCGGATGGGAAATTTTTTTTAACAAAAAAGGTAAAAAAATTAACAAAAAATACTGTCTTCCTTAAAAGTTAATTGAAATTACTATTTTCGTTTTTTGTTAAAAATTGACAAATAATGGTACAAAAAATTGGGGTTTAGTTAAAACTGTTATTTTTACTTAACAAAAAAGTGCTCGCCGGCCTGTAACAAAAGAGAGACAAAAATACATTTTCGCCAAAGAAAAGATGAATTTGTTTCATCGTACGAATTTGTGCGATATATTTCATTGTAGACACGTTGGTCGGAGCAACAACAAAAATATACTCCCAGTCCTAGACGATTTATTCAACGTCTAAGTACTAGGAACAAACATCTTCGAAAGCTGCTCTTTCTGTCTGTACAGCTTCCTGCAGAAATCTTCCTAAAAAAAAAGAATTAAAAAAATATTTATATCAGGCTCAGCAAAAATGCTTGTCCCTAAGCCTTAGCAAAAAAAACAGATAACTTATAAAATTAATATTAATCAAACAGATACGGCCCATTAAACAAATAGAGAAATCCAAATGCAGCACATGCACAAGTCGAATGACCCGATTAATGTTATCAATAACTAAACGCGTGTTTCTGCATTACCCAGTTTCTGATCCCAAACGTGTGTTATTTGCCGCCACCTGGATCTGCGCAGGAGGAAAAAAGGTGAAGAACTCCGCGGATGTTGAAACTTCCAACTCATCTGTTCGCACTCTCACATGTATTAGTTCTCTTTCTATTGATTGCACACTTACTAATACGAACACGAAGAAGCACATAGTATTGAATAACAGAACTTTGATTTGATTTCAAAACGTTCTACTCAACAGTATCTATTGAAAGGAACTTGTTGAGACGCAATGCAACTAATTAATTGTATACGTATATTGTGTGCTTTTTTAACTTTCTAAAATCTTTATATTCATTGAGCTTAGCTATCCTTTCTACTTCTCCTGTCCTTATTCCTGTTTGTTTGTATTAGGGGCAAATTGAACGGGAAACATGTTAAGAATTGAATTATTAATCATTATTGTTCTTCTGTTGTATACTGCGAATAAAGTAATAGTTTTATCTTGAGCTATTTATTATTTATTTATTATACATGGAAATTTGCGAATTTCAGATACTCTGTGAATGCTACTTAATTAAAGACTTAAAGATAATTGGTAAATAAAATTAACACTACTCACTATTGGTCCTTCCCCGTCCTATGCATGTTTGCCGATTATCTGCCTGTTGTGGACGAGTTTTAAAAGATTTTTTAAGAATATTAGAAGCATGACATTGCCAGTTTTGTTCACCTGTTAATGCTCTTATGTCACATTAATTTTTCCCATTTTTCATAGTTAACAGATATTAACGTTCATTTGTGAGATCTAACACTACAAAAGAGGAATAAATTTGTCATAATTTTTGCATGTAAGAATGGGAAAAATTAACTATTCCACAATCAGTATGATCTAATTTTATCTCGATGTGTTGACAGACTTAGAAAAGGCCGAATACCAGGTTTAAGAATTCTTGCTTTCATCGCCAATTGGGTGTGGCCAAGGGATCGCTGTCGCTCGGGCAGCCTGTCTAGTCTAACTTGGCATCCAGACTACCTACATCCGGGATCTCCATCTAAGTCTTTAGGACGCATATCCAGAGCAGCAGATGGACGTTTCGTCTTAGTCGACTCGGCCCTAAGCCTAAGAGCTGAAAGTCCATCTAACGCTTCCAGCAGTGACGATGGAGGATTTCTACCTAGAAGAGGAATCAGAAACAGAGCTTCTTGGAGAAGACCTCTTGTCGGCTACCCCAGTCAACTCAGCCTAAGATCTGACGCTTCCGGGCAATCAGCGTCTGGACTAGCGGCATATTTTTTGGGACAGCGCTTCAGTCAGCCTACCCTCAAACCAATACCAACAATATACACTCCCACTACACCCAAGATTCAGTCCAGTTCACCGGCTACGTCTAGTGGACTGCTACTATCGCCTTGGACGCCGCTCTACTTTAGCGATTTAAGTTCCGTAAGATACCCGAGTTCGGGAGAACGATCCTATCCCACCCCTCCAGGGTTTATTCAGCTCAAGTCCGTGCATGAACGATATTCTCAAGAACTGCCATCACTTCGTGCCATACACGAGGAACACCAAGGTTTCATCCCGGTGCATCCCATAAGAGACAGCCCTAGAGCGGTGCCCCAGCACAGGACTAGGAGCACAAGGCTCTTACCGCCGAGACATGGAAGACTGGCGAGGAGTGCTCCGGAGCTGGACCACCTCGATCGTTCTCCAGAAAGTCGGTCAAGTTCTAGCGGCTTCGGCAGCAAAAATACTTCCCAGCAGAATCAAAGTTCGCATAGCGGCAGTACTTTCACTGAATGGCGATTGCCTCCATATCGACCGCCTCCACCGCCGCCTTCTTCCGCGCTACCGCCTCCTCCCCCACCTTTAGTCGGACATTGGTTAGAACTTGCCTCATCGTCTCCTTCTGCCTCCGACCACCTCCACAAGGCAGTAGACGTTGGCAGCGTAGATGGACACTATGAATTCGATCCGAGTACACCAACTCCCACTCCTTCCACCCCCACGGGATCACGTGACGTGGATCTGGACTCGGCAGGTCCCGGTCTGTCGCAGCGAAAGAGCTACGGAGGTATCAGAAGCAGATACGATAACATCGACGCGCGAGTTCAAGCCATGAAAGAGGAGTTCAACGAGTTCCGCAAACGACAAGCCAATAGGAGAAGGAGTCACGAGTTGGAAAGTGCCTGTTGACTTAGCCATGTGTTTGTGAGTGCGCGACTTACCCCCAAACTTAAAATTACTTTTTCTCAAATTCAGTGTGATATCGTAACCATTACAAGCAAAACGAAATATGTTCTAAATCTTATGTAAAACAGAACCAAAACAGACACTAATATTAAATTATGTAAAGTTAAGTACACTACATTCATTCACAATTACTTATATTGGGTTACGTCGTATTTCTAAAGTAGGAATATAAGCATGAAGCTCAATTCATATTGCGATTGGTATTAGAAGATGAAGAAGGAGCGATCCATATATAAAGATCTTAAGACGAAATAACTAGAAGGACCAATTTTTCACTAAGTAACAACTAATTTCTGTTTTGTACATCGTGTAGAAAGTAAATAAATGCAAGAAAACTTACTCTAATACCCTGATGATCGTAAATTTCAGGTATCAGAATCTGAAAATGATTTAATTTACGCACTATTAGAGTATGACTATTTTCGGATTGTCTTCGCGATAATTAGACGGTAGTTGAAAAGAATCGGTGACGTAATTGAAAGGCTTGCGTCGCCAGGGAAAACATTTAGTTCGCTTTCAAGGGAATTCCTAGGAGAAACGCTTTATGCTAATTGAAGAACCGCAATTTCGCTCCTTCGAATGTCTTCTAATTAAAATCGACACCCCTACACATCAGACACGTTCACAAAGGCGTAATGTTGTGTACGTGGGCGGGCGAAAGTCCAAACGTCAAATTAGGAACTGCCCTCCTGAGATATTTTGGACAACTACCCCGCCTACCAATAAATTCTAACGCTTTAGCGCGACCTCCAGAGGTCGCGACCAACATTCACAAGAGAGGCTGTTGCGTATTGTAATACTTAGATGTCTAGGATAACATTGTATAACGTACCTTTTGCTCCTAGGAGTAACTCGGGCCTACTCTAGGTCCGAATATTTGAACTTGTTTTGTATTTGAGTTTGTGAAATTTACCAAACAAACTATATCAGACAAGAGTACCAGTGCAATAATTTTAACGCTATCGCTACCTACATGGGATGTTAGTCAACACGATTATAATCTAAATCCAGAAGATTCGGTGGCAACTATTTTTATTCATATCATAACTATTTTTGTTTTAACAAAACATATACCTACGAACCGTGTTTTCTTGTTTGCTAACTAAATGGAATAACTAGAAGGATCTGGATAAATCATTATCCAGACTGTGAAATTTTTCTGCATATCACAATAGCACATAATATGCTTTAAATGTAATATTCTCAGGGAGATAACTATGAATCTCTGTTGCTGATTCACAGACCAACAAAATTTATCTTTTTTTGGAAGCAGTAACATGAATACATATTTCCGAAGGATTTAGGTACGCTGAATCCGAATCTGGCAGCAGAATTGCTCTATCACGTCAGGTTTTTGAGAAATCCTAACCTAAAAGTGCAAAAAACACTGTTTTTCGTCATATTTGAGGTTATTCTTTTTCAAAAAACTAATACATTTAATCTAAAAGTACAAGGCTCCCTCCTTCGAATGCCGTTGAGTTTGCTCAGATATCTATTTTTTGTTTCTCAAAAACCTGACGTGATAGAACAATTCTGGAGCCAGATTCGGATTCAGCGCACCAAAATCCTTCGGGAATGCATATTCGTGTGTCTGCTTCTTGGCCCTTGTTGACTTTGTGTTATTATTAAAAAAATCGATCTTGGTTATATAATTTTTAAGTATCACAAGCCTACTATAAATCTGCTATGTTATTTGAATCATTATTTCTATCATATTAAACTGAATGTTTCATTCCAAGTTTAATTATTGTACGACCTACTTGACAGTATTGCCACTGAATAAATGAGCAAAAAAAATTAATGGATCTATCCGTTAGCAAGGGAGCGATTTAATTAATGCCAACTTCCCAACTTATTTCTTTATTTTCATAGAACTGTGATAATCTAGAGGTAGATGCCACATATTTATTAAAAGGAAAGAAGGAAGGGAGAAAACTTCGTCCAATTAAGACTTTTTAGTTTTAAAATTGTCACTCTTGTATTTTAAATGTAATTTTTAATGGACTTGTAATTTTTCGTAGTTTGTTTGGTAGATGTATTCTCGTATCTAGACGATATTTTATATTTTTTGAATTTTGTATAGTGATATTATTTATGATCTGAACTAGTACAATTCGTATTTATGTAATTTAATTTTTCAATGGATGACTGGATGGTGTGCTCAACAATAAGAGGAGTACATGTAATAAAGTATAAAAACAAACAAAAATTCTAACGATTTTTAACCATATAATTAACTATAAAAAATGTTACATTCTTGCCAATAATATTTATTACTGATTTAAGGACGGAGACAATTTTTTAATAAAATTTTGCATGTTTATTAGGCACTTGATCTTTTCCAAAGTTGACAGAATAAAAACCTATTGTACATTGATTATATCATTTCACAGCACACTGACTTAGCAGTAGTATTTTTAGTTCTAAGTGTTAAGTAGAATAAACAGTTGTTACTATGTAACTATGCTGTAAAAAGCATCACATCTGAATAAAATACAATAATGTTGCCAGATCTCATAAGCCGTTTGTATTATTTCTCATAAAAATAGTTAGCAACTAGCTATTCACCAAGTACTAATAAAAATTTTGATAAAATCTCTAAGTTTTAAAGGAAATGAAAATTTAATGAACTTGCTGCAAATTTCTTGTCCATAATTTCTGGTATCTTTTTCTAAAATTTTTAGCTTTCGTTTTATGGGGAAAGGACACATAAAATCAAACGGATGTAGGAATTCGATTCAGTGACCCCAAAAATATAAAGATATGTTGGTTACACTTCATTCCTAAACGTAGAAAGTGTAATCTTAGCAATTTGCGCTACTTTTTTGAGGTTAGGCACGAATTCTGACTAGTTGAAGTTATATTGATACCAGAATTGGTTTCAGCGATCCCGAAAACATAAATTGTGGTGGTTAGACTGTGTTACTCATCGTAGAAACGTATTATTTCAACGATTTGAAGTATTTTTAAGGTTAGGGACCAACAGTGACCAGATGGGGTTTAACGAATATTGAATTCGAAATCAGCAACCCCAAAAGATATGGTGATTCAGTCTACAATTCAGTATATTTATGTCAATCAATATTGCTCATTAAACAGAATTTTCCATGATTGCGGACGCCATATTGGAACCACCCTGATGTTTTTTTTTTAAATCACCAGACGGCATTCGACAGAGTTTTTTAAATGCGAAGCTTTTGACACGTCGAACGTCAATATTGATGCATTTTTATTCTGGGCAGCCCACTGTGCCCGTTGACGTGAAACGCCCGACATACACGTAAATGTGTTTTCTTATTTGTTCACCAACTGCTCTCTATTAAGAACCTTAGTCTTTCTCTCTTGCAGAGAAATGTTTTTTAATTCACCCTTATCTAATAAAATTCTGATTTTTTGAAACTAACTTTAACATTTCAAATTCTGAAGCACTAAACCGGCAGTACATAAATAATACCAGCCTAACAAATTTTCTTATTTCTGAGAATTATTCTCAATGAGTTCATTCAAATAATCACTCATAATAGTTGGTTATTGAGGATCACATTATCTTCTATTTTTAGCCGCATAAATCCTACTCTATTCTAATTAATAAGAATTATCATATAAATGCTTTATGGCGACTGCATCCAACCAAACCAAAAATAATAAGAGTAAGTGGAGTAAGTAAATAAAATTAGGAACTAAAACGAGTGTAAAAAATACCACTCACAATGAAATAAGCACATTTCTTACCTTACTGAAACAATTGAACAATTAACGTTTTTTCACGGCTTTTACTGAATGATCCCAATTACTGAAAATAATGCCTACTTTAAAACAATTAATTGAGTAATAGTAACTATGTAATCGGATTAGATGCTTATTCCTTTCGTCCGCAAAATGACTCATGTGTGGGTAGATCCTTAAGTATTAGATTTTACATCGCGCGTGAAAATCATCATAACTAAGGTTTACAGCAACTCGGAATCGAAAACTTTGTGGCGACAATCGAATAAATAAACAGTATAGTAGGACAGTAGGTATTCGATGCAAAGTAGAGCAAAAAATTGTCGGTCTTTTATCAAAGGAAAATCGTGTCATCATTTTTAGGATGCGTAAGATGAACAATTTCAAATTTAAAATGAAATTGAATGTAAAATATGAAATACCGCATCATCGAGTGTACGAAGTGGTCGGTTATACGTCAAATACCTACTAACCTAGCGAGTTTGGCCGTAAATCAGAGACTGTCTCCAAAAAACAAGTAAACAACAGTGGCACGTACAGAGGTAAAATGTAGTATATATGTGGAATTTAAAAAACAAATTAGTTTATAAATAAATTACATTTAAAGTAAATAATTTATGAGAATAATGGAATTTTTGTAGGAACAGGGGTGCCAGACGTGAACTGATCCCTTCATTCCTTCATAATGCATAAAGAAATTATTCAATTTCTAAACCCCTTAAAACCGTACTGCACTGGATTCCTTGACAGGCAATGATTTACTACTTTGCATCGAATATGATCCTACTATAGTAGTCTATATTATGCTAGTAACCGGCAATACTTGTAGTAGCAAAAATAGACTAAATCTGTGGTCACGCCGTCTGCGCTCTTTGCCACAATACACAATGATACTGATTGCTATAAAAACATGTGCCATACACTCACACACGCACAGAAGATAATGAAATGCACAGCCAACATCTTTCAGCAAAAAACCTGGCACGCCAGGTCGACATTAGGGTGTCGCTAGATACGTATCGAATAAATTGATCGATGCGAAGCTTCAGAGCAGAGGCAGACATGTACATATTATTGTACGACATGGATAGTGGGTAGTGGTAAAATGTGAAGTAGTTGATGCTTTGCCATCATTAGTAAAAATAGCATCTATTAAGAACACACTGTACAATATGTTTCAGATGCTCAACAAATACCAAAACATTTGTAATAATCTCAATAATATTGTACACCTTGTCCGTGTCATCCACAGATTGTCAGTAATGTACAATAAAACTGATAGTTTATGATTCACTTTAGTGTACGCTTATACGTAAGTATACGGGTACACGCTCGAACCCATTTCTGTGTACACAATTTTGAACGCGGGTTTTGGCTGCTAACTGCTATACGATTGCGTCAGTCTATCTTACGTGGGTGACCAACATCAAGTTCTATTTAAATTAAGAAATCACATTGTATGTCGACACATTGCATTCATATACTTAAAACGAGACTAATGCCTAATATATGTCAAAACGAACTGTTAAAACTGCAAGTTTCTAATCCTTACGGTTTAGACGCTATCTAGCCTCATTTAGAGAGCTGAAATTATGATTTTTTTAAAAAAAACAACTGATTATCTGGAAAAGAGGTTACAGAATAATCCCTCTTTGGTGGAACACCCTGTATGTATAAATATCTCAATACGTCTCATGTAGATTGCAATTTTGTTGACTTAATAGTTTATTCACTGGGTACTGGGACTAGAAATCAGCAATTTCTCAAATTTCTTATGGTACTACATACCGCAAGATTCTCATTACACCAGATGAGGTATCAGATGGAATCTGATAGATCAACAACGTTTCTCTTTCAACTGATGATAAACCTAAACAGTTTCTAATTAAACCAGTGAATTTATTGGTAAGACGTCCATCAGCAGTTCAATTAACTGCTATCTAAAATGACACCATCCATATGACAGATTACCATTTATGTTGTTTGGTATTAGTAATTTTTCATTAGGTAAATAAAAAATACAAATAATTTAATTTTTAATACTACTTTTGTTTTCTATTTTGCTACTTGAAATGTGAAAGGATGACGAGTGATGGTCTCGACATCAACAGTCTCTCTCTGTTCTTATTTCCCATTCCATCAAATGTTGGCAGTGAGTTGTAAAAACAAGTTCTGACGTCATCACTGAGAACCTCTCCTCGACAGCCAGGCCCGGATCCAGAGGGGGTGGCGATGTGGCGATCGCCACCCCCAAAGCACAACATTTTTTAAAGATCTTCAATTTCTCCAAACGACAACAGGCAGTTAGTCGATATTAATGCAAGTAGAAGGATTCATTAGTGTCAAGCTCCTCTGAAAGAAGTGCTTTGCGCCACCCCCAAAACCAGTCTCTGGATCCGGGCCTGTCGACAGCAAGTAGTAAACAATTTTAGCGGGTTTGAAACTATTGTCTTGTGAAGTCCCCTTTAGTTAATGCGACAATTTGTACATTCCATGGCAGTTTAAATACGGGCACATTTTCGAATTACTTTAATAATAAAATCTGTAAGCTCGGATAATGTCCGTGGCGGATTGTGACGTTTATCGCAGTAGGCGAACAACATTAAAGTAATAGCAGTCATTATTAATGGACAACAATTTAGCTCTTCCTCCTTTAGGCAGCAATAGACCATGCGTGGCTCCGCAATGTTTTGTTTACTTAATTTTTCTAACGCGGCCGTCTTTATGTTGTTCCAAGCAGTCTACCCCTGTTTACGATTAAATTGATACAAAAATTTAATTTAGTTTGGTTTCATTAACAGAACCTTGAACTCTCAGCTTATCACTTGACCGATGTACTAATTTCAACTTATCACTCATATATTTGATATCTAAATACACGCAAAAAATATAAGCTGTGTTCAAGTGTATTTTTACAAATGCTATAATATCAATGTTTAATTCATTTATTTTTTGTTCTTCAATACATTCAATAAATGTATTTCTTTAATTAGTAAAATACCACGGTTCCTTAGTCTTAGCTAAGAACCTTTGATCTGCCCTTGTTGTTCTCGGGCTAAGTTTTGTGAGGACGGGCCCGCTATCAGAACCCCTAAACTCGCCCCAATTGATATTTAAAAAGGAATATTTTTCTTACATTAAACTGATTCTTAAAGTTATATAATGGGTATCCGTCCTTCGATATCTTAAAAAATACGACATCGGTTTAATTGGGGCAAAGTTGCAGGATTGACTTTTTTTCATTTAGAAGTTATCGACGATAAATTATGAAAAATGTTTTATTTTTTTATCCGAAACCGAATGGGTAGACCATTTTTGGAACATTAGTATGACACTTTTTTCTGAAGAATTTAATACATACGTTATGGTATTACCTAACCTACGAGGAAGGAAATACGAGATTCAATTTTTGTTTTTCTTAGGATGATTTTCTGATTTAGCTGATTTTTCCGATTAGCCGAACTAAATAGCTGTAAGAGATTCCAATTTGATGTTACACACAATATTCTAAGAGTACGAATTTAAAAGATACATGTACCTTTTCCATTCTCAAAGAAGAAAAAAAAGTGAAAAAATCAGTTTTTCGTAGATTGCTGATAAATTTGCCCTGAATTATATATTGTTAGCTGATTATTGGTTGTATATCCATTTCTCTTTCCAATTTATCACTTTAATGTCGTAAGTAATTTTAGAATAATTTTTATCAATCTTTTATCAAAAAATTCAACTTCGTAAAATTTATTTATCATATAAATATTTTATCTCTAAAATTACAACTTGCCGGCGTGAATAACAGGCACCCAGTATAATTATAGGAAGTCAAAATAATCTTATTTTTAATATTAATAGGAGAATACTGACAGATAGCTGCTTATTTCATGCAAATATTGTCATCTTACTTCAAGTAATCTCATATGCCGTGAATAAATAATAATGTCGACTTAAAACTAGATATTATTCTTAACTGGATTCTAGTCTGTCCAGTGTTATGATTGTGTCCAGTGTACTGTATGATAGTGTACACACATCGATACTATAATCTGTAGTGTCATTAGTGTAAGTACGTATTTAGGACTACCTACCTAAATTTCATATTCTCATCCATCATCCATCATCCCATAATAATTAAGTTAATTAAAAACAGTTCTTTATACTAATAAACACTGTACACACTAGAGCGACAAATAAATTGTTTATATTTTCATATGTCACAGTGAAAAAATTATATTATGGGAAATAATTACTCTGCGAATTAATGAACCGATCAGAATTGAAATACACCCATAAATAGGTGAAATATAAAGTGCGCTGTTACATATGAAATGAACACCTATATGTTACTAATTAATAAATTAACATTTTTTCTTTGAAATTTTACTCAACTTAATGATATAAACAATGTAATAACTACCTAGAATTTTTTATTGACAAATTTAGTTTGTTAGGTGTGTTATAAATTCCTAGAAAATTATTTAAATATGTAAATGCCTCTAATCACAGCAGTGTTATAATGTCTAGTATAATAAAATAATAACGTGTAAAAAGTTCTGGTGACAATGTTATAAAAAATTATATGCGAAATCGTAAAATGTGTCAGAAATATGACAAAAATTGATGAACATTTAATCCTGTTAATTATATTTTAAGAATTTACTGGTTAGATAAAGTAACAACCCTTTTCACCTGTGAAAATTTTCGAAGTTTCATTTTTTATAAGTAGGCTTAGTGCACGCGCAGAGTCTAACAGAGCCGGCCTGGGAATCGGTGGCCTTCACAGCTGACTCGCGTTTTGAACTGTTCAGTTATTTATGGAACCTTGTAGTAGTTAGTGTGGCGTCTGCTGTAAACTGTATTCGCCTGTATATTTAAATAACTGTTTATAAATAGTAACATAATTTACAATAACAACTATTAATTGGGAGGAAAAGTGAAGAAAAATGCCAAAAGGGAAAAGAAATAGACGGGAATTATTTCAAATGTGGTTTGACAGTGATCCCAAAGGTGACCGGGACATACGTATTAAAGGAAATGACCTGTTTTGTACTATGTGTGAAAGCATTATAAATTCTTGTGACAAAACTAAAGTTACAAGACATTTGAAGAGCCACGCCTCGTCCAGCGCTGAAGACTGTATTTTTCTATGAACTTACAGACGTTTTTCTTTCAAGCAATATTCCATTAAACAAACTAGAGAACCTCAAGTTCCGTAATTCCGTACATTGGAATCACCTGGACTATCCCTAAATGAACAATTTGATATAATGGATGATCTACAAAAAATATATACGTTGCCAATAACACACACTTTAATCACTAGTGCTTCAATGTCAGATTTTGCATACCGCACAGCGTGTGTAAAAAATGCTTTCTTCCATATTCACGACCTCCTTAAATGTTTCTAATTGCCAAAATAACTGGTAACCCAATTTTCCGCATTTATTCATTCATACCTCTCCTTTGCAACCTATCCAATTAACCTCACCAACACTAGGAAACAGTAATAAACAAATTAGCCCACCCATACGCCCGAGCACACACTTCAGTCAGTGTAAAGTGTAATATAGTTTGCATTAATACGATAATAATCCCATTATTGTACCTTGTGCCGCTGCGTTTGTTGATTTGCTCCATCTTCAATCTCTGTAGATTCACCATCGCGCCTGCAGCTAGGATTCGGATTCGATTGAATTCAAAACGAAAAAATGTTAAGTAAAGCGAGTGGGGTGAGTTTTGTGGCGTTTGTTTTGGTGTTGGTGGCGGAGTGTTACTATTTGGAGGACAACAATCCGAAGTACCTTACCGCCGCTGTGGGGGACTATATCATTCTGAATTGTGAGGTAGATTTCCCACAGAATTTTCCTATACCATATATGGTTCTCTGGAGAAGAGGGGTAAGTACAGTAATTTAAGGGCGGTTTCATTATTAGAACATTTTGTGTAACTTTGAAGTTTGAAAATTGATTTAGCTTTACTATCTACATACTTATACAATTTTTATAATATTGTGTTTAATAAATCACATTTTGACTAATCAGATTTGTGTAAAAAATGTGAGGCGATAAATAATAAAATAATTAATTAACTAATGTATAAAAAAAGCATACTAGGGTGACTTTCCATACAATATTTGTGCATCAGACGTTTTGCACTTATTACAAGCCTTTTAATGGGAAATAAATGATTAGACAAACAGTAGGTTGTCAACATTCTAATTAACAAGATTTGTGCGTAACTTTTCGCCGAAGGTGGTTTTAAAACGACAAAACGTAGGTAAGGGTAATAGATTTGTTATACTTCTTATTGTTGTTAAATCAAAAAAAAAAACAGGATGTTACAAAGTTATCCCTATTTGTACCTGGATGTAGCTAATTATGATTTAACTAACCTTTTCATTGAAAGATCACGAGGCAAGAAGATTCCACGACAATGATTTATATAATTAACATGTCATTATTATTATTAAATTCGTTCGAGACATAATTCCACAACATAAAGCGAGGCAGATATATTTGTTTCTGAAATTTTTTTAAATATTATTAAATATATCTTTGTTCGACAAGATTTTACCACTTAATTTTTAATGATATTAAAATGTTTACAATACAGAAATAATTTAAAGGGATTAAAGAAGTCGATTTAGTTTCTCGATATTCAAATTACAAATATGTGGAAAAATATGAAAGCGTTAATAATATTTACCCACATATCAATACAGGCTGTCCCAGAATAACGGAAGACCACAGATTCGTGGACTCAAAATAGGCAGATTTAGGCTAATTCACCTATATCCGAAATAGCTTCGTTTGGCCGCTAGATGGGCTCAAAGTTCGTGAATTTTTTGAATTTTTGAATAAGAATTAAGAATTGGCGGGTACAATGACTTAAAGATCAAACTGAAATTACAGTCAACCTACAAAATCAGAGCCTACTAGCACTTTGTTAAGTAATGTAATGTGGATGGATGGCAAAGGTGAATTAGCCTAAATTTGCCTATTTTGAGTCCACGAATCTGTGGTCTTCCGTTGTACACGTTATTCTGGGACACCCTGTATAATGGACATAGGTAGTTATTTGTGCATGTAACATTTTTCTCACAAAAACGATAACTCTATTCCTAAAATAAAATAAAAGAATTGTAATTAGACAAGTTTCAAATAACACACTGATATAAATAAAGCATGTAGGGTAGTAGATAAATGCCGAAAAATTAAAGAGATCATTCCTTGTTAAAAACTACGGAAGAGTGTTTCATCTAAAGAAAATGACTAAATGTCTCCGAAAATCTGCGGATATATGGTCCTTTAAATGATGATGATAGGAAAATTTAGTTTTTATTTCCCGTCCCCCCCCCCCTCCAAAGAATTCGAAAAAAGTACAAAAATTTTCGTATGCCAAGAAAATATTACATTGAAAATTTTTATTAAAATATTTTATTTACTTAAATTTTAATTTTGAAAATTAAAACACGACTTATTAAAAAAAAAAAGTAATTTGTTTGAGAAAATTAAAAATATAAAATAATAATTACATATTTTAAAAATTTGGCTCTTGAATTTTAAATAAAAAACTTATCGGAATCAAAATAAAAGTTTAACAATGCAACTAACTATATGCGTAACATCAATTTTATATAGCAAATAGTTTTTAATTTTCTAGGTTTCCCCATAGATTTATAGCTTTAAACTTTAATTGTGAAAAGGCAGAAAGCTTATTTTTGACAACCATGAATATTTTAATAGAAAAGTGGTGGAGAATATTATGTTTTATCTAATTCTTGTTCAATTTCCTTAATTTCTTCATTATTTTTATTTTTATTTTTTTATAAATTTTTCTTTTATTAAAAATATTTCTAAAAAAATTTAAATCATTATACCTATTTGTAGGTACATACAATTTATATTTCTCCCATCCTCTCTCTTATATTGCCCCCTCTGACCCATTAGCTGACGACGCCCTTGGGTAGAAGTAACCACCCCTATAATTTCTGAGCAAATTTTTTTCAATCGCCAATATGGTCATTTTTTGGATAGTTTAGTCTTTTTCTCAAATAAATTTGAACTCTTGTATTTTTTCGTACACGAAACAGTATTTAAGCAAAAAATAAGATAGTTTATAGTGGACACAGGATTTTGCTCCATGTGAGAGAATTTTTGTTACAATAAAAATAAACAAAAAGGCTTGAATTATAAACAGAAAGCTTTTTGGTTCTGAAATATTTACTTTACCTCATATTTACACTTACAATTTTGTATTTGTTTAAGTCTTATGTAAAGGAGACATCAACTAACGTCATGGGCGTAGCTAGATTTTTGCCTGGAGTGGGCTCCAAAAAAAAAACAGGCAATCGACGACTTACCGATATAACAATTCAAAACCTAAGCACTCTTTCGTTTGATTCTAAAGAAAAGTAGCGTAGTCTTACCGATATGAGAAAGATGATATTATTGTATATTTTTTTCTGGGGTGAGCACCGGGCTTTCTCCCCCCTAGCTACGCTCATGACTAAAGGTTATATTAATTTAATACTACTTCAGTTGACATAATTTGTGTTTGTTGGATTTTTGTAAGCATTTCCTCAATATGCCGAATATAATTATGATAGGTTATTTTAGAAAAATATTAGATGTTTTTTTTATACAACGGATATATTTTGGTAATTTACAGACAGTAAGCTTATATGACTCTGTTTCTTGTGATTATTTCCCCTCATTCATCAGCAACCAATAGGATTATTTTAAAATAAAAAAGTGCCATTTGAATCGTATTTAATCATAAATTGTCCAGATTAAAGTCACACATGCACACATTCTTTAAAGCTGCCTTCATACAACGCATGGTTCGGCGAGTGTATTCGCTTATCGATCAATTCGTTTGGTAGCAAGAGGTTTGAGGTCTGCGCCACTTGTGGTCGAGTTAACGCAGGATAACGACAGCTTGATTTATAAGCGGGTATGCTCGTGTCGTAGGAAGGCGTCTTTACAATTATTACATTATTAGCTTGATAATTTAAAAACCGTTACAGCGATATGACGTCTAAGCCCAATTACACATTGTACGATTTTTTTTTGTCGGACCGATGAGTTGACGATTCATTCTAGAGACGTACGTTAAAAAGGAATATACGGCGATTCTATTGATAAAATGTAGAACGACAAAAATGATCTATTATCAGTACTGGATCTATACTTACTACCGAGTTCTTTCATTTAAGAGAAAAGAAAAACAAACTCTCGGCGTTAATGGATCATAATTTAAAAATTAAAATATACACGTCATGTCGTCGTTGGTTCTTTTTCAGTAGTTTTGAATAGCTCCTACAAATTGTTGACTTTTGATATGAACAGATAATGTTATATTTGTAAAACATAAATATAAATAAATACAAGTGAATTCATTGTACTTTGATATCAAGAGATACCACTAGATAACAGAAGAAAAAAATTTAACAGTAAAAAAACTACTCAAGATATTAAGGTTTCTAATGTTATCAACATTCCTAATCAATACAAACATAAATTAAAGTATACCATACACTAGGCTTTATTCTTTTCAAGAACATGTCAGATAAAATTACAAACGAAATTGAAAGCATCATTAAAAGCAAAATTGTCCCTAGAAATTGAGGATGTAAATTATAGACTTGGCAAACTTGAATGAGAAAAAAAGTGCTAACCAAAGAATTTAAAAATTTTGATTCTTTTGTCATTAGATTGTATATGACATTAAACTGTCAGCAAACAAAAAAAATGTTGGGATCGATCGATTTTTCATCTAAACAAAATATAAATTTGATGTAAAACAATCTACTTTAAATTCTTAAATAGCAAGAAAGAGAAATTATCTGGACATGATAATACAATAATCTTGCAGCAAAATTGAACATTGTTCAAACAGAAGGCATTCGGTCATTCAAACCGCAATACGTTTAGGAAAACTCTGTATATGAATCTTGAAATTTATAAGATGACACTTCTTTTTATTGTTAATAAATGTAGTTCAGAATTAACATCTAAAAAAGGGGTAAAAAAAGATTTATGTGACCTAGTAAGAAAATATTGAAACCAGTAGTATCAGTATCAGGGGAGAACAACAGGGCATTATAAAAAAAATTGCTTGGAAACATGTCCGTTGTCTGATACAGGAAGAAGTACATATTTACAAAACAGTTTTAATAATAAGATATTTTTTCTCAATAAAGAATTTGAAGATTTATTTAGTGAATTTAGCAGCGGAAACATTCCATGGCAATCTTGACTATGCGAAAGATCAGTAAATAAACCAAAATATTGTCCAAGCTATTAACGAAAATGTAATATATGTATATATCATTGCAATCAGAAAAAAGAGAGGAATCGAAAAAACAATTAGGTATATAGTGTTCCAAAAAAGCTTGGTTTTATCTTTACAACAGTAAATTGCTTCGTTTACATTTTTACATGTTTTTTTGAAATAGCAAAATATTTTCCTGAAACATTGGTTTTACGCTTTTTTTCTAGACAGAAAAGTAAAAGAGGTATAGAGGGTACTAGGTTATATGAATTATTCTGTACATGTCAACAATGTGGACTAATTAATGTAAAATATCGCATACAATCTTTTACCCAAATCAAAACTCATAAATCAACGCCTATCATCAAAACAAATCATGGCTTCCTGCTGCATTGATAATTGCTATAAAAACAGATTTGTACATTTCTAAAATAATTAAAATCTAAAGTGCGAAAATGATTTTAAAAGACTTAAGTGGTTTAGGTTGAAAAATTTGTAGTGTCCTGCACTGACAAAAGAAAAACAATATCCGTTCTTAGTTTTAAAATTTTAGCTTTGATTCTAGGGCGAAGTAATTTATTCGTGGGAAGACGACGTCTACACCGAATCGGACGAATACTTGGGTCGAATAAGCCCACTCAATAAACAGCCCCATCTCTACGGAAAGGCGTCCATCAATTTAACATCAATTAGGGAATCCGACGTCGGATGGTTCGAGTGCAGAATCATCTTCCCCAACAGGATGCCGCCCTGGAGGAACAACGGCACGTGGTACCACCTCACAGTCAGTGGTAAGACATGAAAACACCGAATTTATTGCGGGTTGTCAGTTACTTTTGTTACCGGTTACTCGATATACAGGATGTAAAAAGTTAGTGCTAGAAAATCCATGTGGAAAATGTCTACTTAATTTCATTTCTGTCACTCTTTTGATATTTCAGAAAAAAATAAAAAAACTACTTGTTTGGCACCCTCTTTAAGCGGCGGTACCTATATCTTCACAGGGAATGTTCATATCAGATTTTTTTTATGTGAAAGACGCACCTTATTTTTCCACAGGGAATCACCTCTGAATTTTTTCGCACTTATTTATTTACATTCTGTATAGGCTGTATACAAACTTGAAGATATTTGAAGCTTGCGAAAATTCGATTGACAGAAATTTTTCTTGCAAATAGAATATTTTTGTAAGATCTACTACTTATTACTTCCATCAACAGTCCTGCCTCTGTTTGGTGCCTATTTCTAAATCGCTGTACTTAAAGACGTGCTGCTAACTTCAAGTTTTCATCAGCGTTTCCATACATCATCATCATGTCTATTAATTCACTGCTATTGTATTGATAAGAATTTTAGTTTGTTTCTTTTCACTTATTACCACAGACACTGTCCTTTCACAAAAGGAAAACGATAAAGAATCTACAATATTAAATGACTTTACTTAAACTTTGTTCACTAATAAGTTTCACTATAAAACACACTCGTTTGCTTAATGAAAACTAAAGAGAATTGATAATTATTACCAAAAATTGAAGTAGCAATTTTTGTGTTTACTATAAAAAGACGGGACAAAAAAGCGGACGATATATTCACAAGAACTATTCACTTCTTTTGATGTTAAGTCGGGAACAATTCCAAAGGTTCTCAATAAGTTTTAACAATTTTGATAACATCATCATGTAAACACATGTTTACATGATGATTCTCAGCGCTCGAAATAATAATAATAGTTTTTATATGATTTATCGCAATATAGTACAAGGAATGTTAAATATAAAAATTAATATACATATAAAACATCATCACCGAAAGAATTAATTTCTAGATGAAAGTTATGTTCCACATATTCTAAAAATTTTAAGCCCTTTTTATAAATTACCCAAATGTACGCCACTTTGCATGATAAAAATAAATTTAAAATATTTTATCCAACACTTGTATATAATGATACTATAATTTATTTGGTTTTAAAAGAATAATGTGGCCTACAAGTCACTAGTGAGTTATAAGTCATAAGTCACTAGTAAGTTCTGACTTATAACCCACTAGTGACTTATAGAAATCATAAAAAGACAAATGTTTGGTTATTTTTCTACTTTTTATTAGAAAACCAATTTGAAACAGGTAAATTTATAGAACAGGTTGCCCCTTTGCTTGTGCTTGCTTCAGGAGTCTGCACCCCTTGTTATAAATTAGAATCTGTCAAGCCCAAAAATCGCGCAACAACACTAGGGATTTTTGATACCTTCTTAATATCAACACATTGACGTGTGCATTTTCCCTTTTGAAAATTGCAAAAGAACATTTTATGCTTAGAATATTTTCTAATTAATTCAATTGGATTAACACAAAATCCTTCATTACACAGCGAATCTTCTTGATTTGTTCGTTTTAGTATTTGAAATCATGATGTGGATATAATGCTCTTTGTCCTCTATATTGTCTATGCTTAGATGGCTCAATTATTCGCAACAATATCAACGCCACCTAAAAACAACAAATTTAATAAATATAACTCAGTTAAACTATTCAGTGGAACCTTCCTTATTCATAAGATGATCTTCGTCTAGGGCTTCACGCAAAAATTGTTCGATTTGTTCTCTTTCTAAAACCTTGGATTTTTTTGATTGAAAATGTTTGTTCTTAGACTTTAGAAATGCCACTAGCCTTCCGAATTTAGAAATTTCAATGTTCTTGTAAACTCTCAGAGTTGACTTCAACATGGAATATTTAGTCCACAATGTGGATGGAGCTAATTTCTCACTTAAATTGAAAAAATAAGCCAACAAGACATTTTCATTTACGCCTTTCACCCCTTCTTTGATTTTCCAATCTTGAAATTCCTCCAGTTCTTTGTTATATATAGATTTTGATTTCTGTGGAATGATGCCTTCAGTAGCCGCATTAGCTTTTTCTAAAATTTCAGATGGAATTTCCACATTTTCCATTATTTCAGTTTTGGTTTTTGGATAAAAATACATGCAATTCGTTAAATTACTTTTTCTGACATTGACAACTTGAAATTTTAAGTTACTTTTATTTATTATTACAACAAAATTCTATGAAAGTGTTGGATAAAATTTTGTATCCACGACTATGGTATAATGTACCCATTATACGTCTGTCTGCTCGACCTTATTAATACCCATAAATCACGGCAGTGATTAATGAGTCATTAATCACTACTGTCTGATTCTTCCTTGATTTAGCTATAATATTATATTGTTCTGCTACAATCAATCGGTTTTTAATATTTTATCGTGTAAACCACTAAATATTTTCTATTCAGTGCTGTACATATAAAAAAAAAATTAAAAAGTGAATTTTCCTAGATCAGATTCGAACCCGGGACCCGCGGTTGGAAGGGAAGGAGCATCTACACTGAGCCATCAGCGACTTTATTTGTGCGTGTCGTATATCTGTTTCTTAACATACTATGTTTTTCGAAACATTTCATAAATCTAAGTAGCTTTTAAAACAAAACAAATTTGATTCAATCCTGTCAACATTATTGTTTGTGTGCATAGATTTCTCAGTGTTTTGATATTTTGTGTTAAATTGTGTGTGTAAAAAACGAACTAAAAGCAAAAAAAACTTCAACAAAAATATTTAGTAGTCGTGGATAAAGTATAGTATTCTACTCTCGTATAATGGCTATTATCCACTCGGTGATTTAGGCCACTCGCCTGCGGCTCGTGGCCGTAAACTTCACCTCGTGAATAATACCCATCATTATACGCTCGTTGAATAATATACTAGTATGGCACTCGTGTGTTACGTCATATAAGTCACTTGGGAAAATTATATTACCGTAACCATAGATTTAATATGACCGTAACACACTAGTACCATAAATAACTATAAATATAGATACCGAAGTTTAAAGTCTACTAATGATTTATTATTATATTTTCACTATTTTTAGGTGGGAACCTCCTGGCGATCCCTCCGATTAACAAAACCGTCCTGGAAGGAGAGGAAGTCGAATTTAACTGCATCACGAAGGATTATAATATAAAAGTAGAATGGTTCAAGGACAGTATACCCCTAAATGAATATCACGATCTAATGACCAGGTCTTGGATAACCAAGGATAATACGCTTGTTATCCGTCCCACTGATTCTGGAGATTATGGAGAGTACGAATGCGAAGCTTCTAACGGCGAGGGGGAAAAACAAATGGCAAGGGCTTTTCTTAATGTTCAGTGTGAGTAATAACGTATACAGGGTAATCTGTATTATCAGTGCAATGGCCAAAGGTGCTGCAAACGATGTCAAGGAAAATTTAATGTCAATAGGGTGTTTATTGACAAATAACCAAAATATATAACGAACGTACAGTTAAATATTTTTTTATTGTTCAAAAAGGGTCCGATTTAAATCCATTAGATTTTTTTTATGAGATTAGGTATTTAAATTACTGAAAAGGGCGATTCCTTACGCCATCTTTAGAAGAAAACCTTGCAACCGATAATGCTTGGTGAAAAATTTTTGTAGTTTTTGGACATACCTCATAAATAAGTTGATTTCATCTCCAATGTTTATCAGCAATTTTCCTCGTTTTTTCAATTTTAAGAATCTGCTGTTAACAAATAACTGATACTGATGATAATAGTAGTGACCCATAAGCTTTTTACAAAAACTTAGATTCAGTAAAAACATTGCCTTAATGTTAAAAATGTTGTCACCGTCGTTTTTGGTGGTGAAAATTAGAAATATTCGGAATTATTTAATTTTCCTGGTTGAAAACATACACAGGATTGGAAACCGAAAGAGTTGCACTAACCAAATTTGGACAGGACATAGCTAATACAATGCGAAACATCGCCTTAATGTTAAAAATGTTGTCACCGCCGTTCTTGGAGGTGAAAATTCGAAAAATTTGGAATTATTCAATTTTCATGGTTGAAAACAAACATAGGTATTGTATGTTCGAAACCGAGAGAGTTGCACTAACCAAACAAGAACAAGACATAGCTAATACAATGTGAAACATCGAAAATTGAAACTAATGGAGATTCAATCCCAGTGTCCAATATTTTACACTTAATGTACATTCAAATATATTTTTTTCAGATAAAGCCAAAGTGATGTATGCACCTCCTGAAATACATCTGCCATTTGGCAGACCTGCTCTTATAGACTGCCACTTTCGGGCTAATCCGCCTCTAACCAACTTAAGGTGGGAGAAGGATGGTTTCCTCTTCGATCCCTACAATATTCAAGGCGTCTTCTACAGACGAAACGGCAGCCTCTATTTCAGCAAGGTTACTATAATAACTTTTTTAATTTCGTATTGACAACCTATGACACACGTTTTGTTAAGTAAAGTTTTAAAATTATAATGCGGGAAGCATGATCTCGTATGCGACATTTCAGGGTAATGGAATACCCAGGCTATTGACTATTTTATCGGTGTGAAATAAGCGGGTGCTTGTGTATCAGAAATTTAAAATTAATCCAAGGCCTGCCTGTTTTTTTATTGTCTGTAACCAAACCTGTTTGTTCAAATTTGACAACTAATCTTTCCAGTTGTTTCAATCGGGGTATTGCTTCTAACGAAAATTGCATGTGATTAGCGCACAGTCTCAGCTACAAACTCTTTGTACTAGTAATGAATTTTCACCGTGCTAAACTAAAGTGATTAAAATTACTATTTCAACATTCTAACAATTAATAACTTGGAATAGGTCGACGAAAGCCACACCGGAACCTATACTTGTACCCCTTACAATGAGTTAGGAACTGCAGGTCCATCCCCAAATATGCATGTAACAGTCCAAAGGGCTCCAATTTTTGTGCGGATACCGCATAACCTGTATCTAAAGAAATTAGGAGAAACAATAGAGATGCCATGTGACGCTAGAGATGGCGACAATGGACACAGGCCGATTATCGTTTGGTACAAGGTAAAGAAACTGATTATATTAGTATTAGAGTATTACATGACTTACAAAACTCATATTTGTACAATTTATAACTTCACTCACGAATATTTTGATACTGATTGTACTTTGTTAACGAATAGAAAGACGGCAAGTCACTTCCAATGGGTCGCTATTCAATTAGAGATGGGAATCTAACCATAAATGATATCCAAACTGAAGACAGAGGTGTATACCAGTGCTCGGCTACAAATAAGGCAGCCACAATCACAGCAGAGACAGAACTTCTCGTGGAAAATATACCATCCAGCGCACCGTACAACATAACAGCTGTTTCATCTACCACTTCTGTTCATCTTACTTGGTTGATAGGCAGAGAAAGAGCTAATGTGGATTATAATATTTGGTATAAGAAGAGAGGGCAAGATGAGTGGAAGTCGTACCGAGTGCCTTCGACTAAGGTTTTGGAAGCTACTGTTACTAACCTTACACCAGGTAATGCAGCAATTAAAATTTTAAAACGTATTTATAATCACATACATATTTTCGATCAGCTGATCAGATAACAAATAATACATCGTGTGCTGCAATCATTGATTTTGTTTATCGAAATAATAAAAATTTTCTTCTAAAACTATATCAAGGATCACGTAGATAAAAATTTTGAAATATGGCACTACAAACAATTGAACTATAAATTACTTGTTCCTACTGATAACATTGAAATTTTTTAAATCACTAACTTTGTTTGAGTCATTAATAACACTGTCAGGCTGGCGTTAGAAGTTTTCATAGAAAAAAAATTAATTTACAATGTTATCTCCACAATTAAATAAATTCGGAAATTTTAATTTGTAATATGTCTGTAAAGTGTTTACAGCGGCGGTCATGGTTACCGACGCGCAGTAGTGAAAAGGGGAGTGGGAGTAACGCATATTTACTATGCAGTTTGGGCACCTTTTTTTGTTAATAAACGTAATTTGTTCAGGTGTATTGTAAAATGTTGTTACTTGCATATTGTTTCTTGTATGTTTTTTAAAAGATTGTATAAGTTTAAATTAGATTGTAAAGACGGACTAACAGTGCTATCTTTTGAAAAATCAATGGTACGAGAAATATCAGTTTATTTCAGACAAAAGCAGAAGAATGGATTTTCACTATAAAATATAATGTTGCATACATTTTCCCTATATTTCAATAGTACTTAAAATAAAACTGCCCAATTATATTTATTTATTTTTTATTTTATTTATTTATTTTTTTCAATACTTTGTACCTAAATATTTCCGTCCTCCCTAGTGTGGAAGTCAAGAGAGCAAGGGTTTCTTCGTTAAGGCTGTTGGTCTAAAAGGACTGATGAATCAAATTTCTAAACTTGTCAACTTATGCAGTTTTTTATTCGTTAGGTATGGAGTATGAGTTTATGGTGCTCTCTAAAGGTGACGACGACGAAGGTCTTTTCAGCAAGGCTATACGGGTGTGGACCAAAAACACAGAGGGTGAAAGAGATAGAATCAGGAGACCCTTCACCCCCGTAGGATACCCCACAAATGTGACGGTACACCCCACGGATAACGGATTGATGATTTCTTGGCTACCACCTGAATATGGATTGGAATATTTGAAGAAGTATATCGTAAGGTGGAGTCAGGGGCCGGATGAGTATATTTTTGGATCTGGAGAAACGAAAAATACTTCCTATTTAAGTAAGCATTATTCAAATTATACATTCTTTATTGCCTCTTATCATTTCATTTAAATATAATTATTTATTTAAATAAGTATTTATTATAATCACATTATACAAATCCCATTGTTGCGCAGAAGGTCATTTTAAGGGGTAACTTTTTGAAATGATTAAAGAGAACACCAACAGAGAGTTTAGAACACGGTAGGAAGAAATAAACAGCTGTTAATTTGCTAAGGAGTTCTTAGGATACCCCAGCAAAGACACAGCTAAAAAATACCTGGCAATGTCCAGAGTAAGTCTTCGTCTGGTCACGGGAGTTCAGCCCGGACACTGCTGGCTAAGGAAACACCTCTACAATATGAAGAGTGTGAAAAACCTCTCTGTAGAAGGTGTGAACAGGAAGACGAAACAGTTTTCCATGTACTCTGTGAGTGCACTGGTGTCTGGTCAACGAGAGAATCCGTGTTAGGAGAACGATGGCCTTCTATGGTCTACATCAGAAGGATCCCCCCCTGAGCAACGTCATCACCTTTTTCTCCTTGATAGGCTGGTTGACGGCTCAGGAGAGCTGATCTCTCGTTAAAGGATGCACAAAGGGGCCTAATTGCTGTAGCTCAGTATACTCCAAATTATTCCAGAATCTAGAACGGGGTAACTTTCGCCATTTCATCCCCAATTCATATATCTTTGCCCCATTCTTTCTAAATCTGACTGATCTTCATGCTGTCAGGGAAAAAAACGAACTTACCTACTCGTTTAACCTACAGACTGAACCGTGTTCGAGAAATTCAAGTTAACTAAGAGGATGCATTTGAAAAAGTTGCAAATATCGATCGCATGTACCTAATCTGAAATACACAGAGTTCGAGCAATTTCTCGAAAATGACTTCGAAAAATGAGGCAAAAATAAAAAAGTTGGGACTAAAGTAGTGACACGTACAAAGGATCTGAGCATTACTGGAGCTATGTGAACTACACCCATCATAGCGATGGAGGCAATGCTGTGGCTGCCACCTCGGGATATCTATCGCCCCAAGAACGTTGGTTTCAAACCGGATGTAGGATGAAGGAGAATGAGAAGTTGGGAGTCGTCTATGGAATGGGTCCTCAGGAAGTTGCCCCTTCTGAAGGCAGACACTGACAGTATTTCTCCTCAGTTTACGTTCGACAGACCCTACACAGTACTCATCAGGAGACGGGAGGAGACCTACAGCAAGGATGAAATTAACGTCTTCACAGACGGATCATATAATGGAAGGAAGGTGCAGGGTGTGGAATTTATTGTAGATCCTTGCATATCCGATATCAGTGGGCAATGGATAGGTATGTTACCATGGTACAAATAAAATTAGCCCCCAAAGAAATTGCCCGGTCAGTATGGGAATGCCACCAGGAACTGGTCGTGGCCTCAATTTCCAACAGCATATATGTGTGCTGGATTAAGGGACACTAGCGGTGCAACGGCAATAAAGAATCTGACAACTAGCCAGAAATGCATCGGGTCTCAATATTTTTTGGCCCGATCCCTCCAGTGTGCTTCCGCTGTCAGCACTCGCTGAAATTATCATAGAAAACACCCACAACGAATTTATGAAACGATGGAATGAAACAAATAGCTGTCAATTTGCTAAGGAATACCCTAGCAAGGATTTACCTGCTGTAGCTTCCAAGCTACCCTCCACACAATTCCAGATTCCATAAAGAAGTGACAGTTACCCTTTAAAATTATCCCTCACTGCGTAAATTACTTCTATAGTCTAAATTCAAAATCATTATTATTAATTTTTGGAAAAACGTTTGTATTACAAGGTACCCTTTGTATTTTGATATTATTCATTCTGAAAATATCTAGTTACAAACCACCCTGTAGATCACCGTTATCTTATAGGATAAACATAACTACAGCCTTGATACTTTAGCCTTTTACTTATTAATTTCAAGCGCTATTGTTTTCTAAATTCAATATCTATTGAACTACGGCAGACTTTGAAGCGAACATAAAAGTGTTTTAGCCGAAACGTTTTTTATTTTGAAATTGATTTGCAGATAACTGAAAAATCAATATTTTCTTTTTTACTGCAAAACAGTGCCTAGAACTAATTATTAATCAAGAAAAACTCAAATATACAGGGTGTCACGCTTAAATATAATACAAGCCTGTAACTTATATACTGCTGTTTTTATTTATACAATACACGGCCAACTAGGGCTCGTCTGAAGATGTATCGAATTTGATGAAATTTGGTGAAAAGGCATTTTGAGAGATGCGTAATCTGTTTCCTCACCATTTTAAATTGGTAATGATATTTGAAAATACATTTTACATATTCGAAAATTTCCCAGTACCTTTGAGACATAAATATTACATAATTTAATTACCCGACATATATTTAAATTTCATCCCTATGTAAATATGGCTGTATATTTTATAAAAAAAAACAAATAATTTTAACCAACAAGATAACTTCATTTATCATTTTAAATGATAATTATAAAAAATAATCAAGTACAACTACGCATTTAAATTTAACTGTATCGTCATAAAATCGCATGTAAACTTGTCTGGAAAACATGTAGTGACGCAATTCCCAGTAACCTGTTAACTAATGGACGCTACATAGTTTTTTGTGATTAAAGAAATAAATTTGCCCATTATTATCTTATAAAGACATTGAAAATTGTTTTATCGAAAACCTTTATCAATTTAAACATATGACGACATTGTCATAAGTTCTGTGAAATAAAAAACCTAATTAAAATATAAAGTACTTATACAATGCTATTTTTTTTTAACCTGGTCAACTTTTTTATTTGAAGTAATAGACTAGTGCTTCCAAATGCAAAGTTGTAAGAAATAACTTGATTAAGAAAAATTTACAAATAATTTTTTCCGGTGTTGCCAGATTTCTGCAGTAGCTACTAAAACGATATTTTTTTAAATGGCAATACCGTATTTTTTTAACATAATTTGACAAACCATGAAATTCTAAATAAAAAATGTTATGTCACATTTCTTTATTGGAGTAGCCGTTTTAGAACAGTCAACAAAAACAACGAATATAATCTGCAGTCGACATGTTTCATAATGTCTATAATTTTCTTTTGTTCCTGTTTTACAATGCGAACAAATAAACAAATTGATAAAAATAATTGAAGTATTGCTATGCCCTGATTAGTTTTTAGTTTTATAGTAAAATTGATACCATTAACTGCTTTAGATTATACCAGGTGTCTCAATTGTATTGTTCCAATGGTATATCCTCATTACTTAAAAAACATAGATTTGAAATTTGGGCATCTGATATACACCTCAACTTCTTTAAATTGAATCTAATTTTAAAATTCTTTCACTTCTTAAAGTTTGAATTCTACAAAAAAAAAATCCCTTTTTCGTGAAGTAGGTATTTACACTGGTATTACACTTAATCTAAAAAAAAATAATATTTCTATAGGCGTAAAAATATTTGTTTGGACAGAATTAACTGTATTTTTTGCTAAGCATTGAAAAATTTGATTTTTAATAATTTTAAATAATATTTTATGCCTCAAAAAGTGAAAAATAAGAATATTAATACAATTGAAAATCAATGATAATAACTTTTTCACGTTTGGTTATAGAATTTGCTTTTAAGATATTATAGGTATACTCCCTGTATATTTTATTGCTTTTTCTATTTCAGTCACTAATTTATCAGAAGGCAATGAGTACGACATCCAAGTTATAGCGTTATCCTTGGACGACCAACAAGCAATAAGCGACAAAGTCAGGGCCGTTTTCCCAGGATTCAAGAGTATAAGGGCCGTATCCACGGGAATCATAGCGGGATTAGCATTTCTAGCGACCGCTTTTATAGCCGTTTACTATGTTAAAAAGAAGTGGTGCAGAACTTACCAGGGGAATAGTAAGAATTAATGTGTGTGAAGGACCTATCTGTTCGTATAATTGTAACTTTTTGAAAATGTATTAAAAATTCAGTTTTAAATTTGTTTTGTGTACAGAATGCCGTGTATAAAATTAGCAGTTACTGTTAAATAGCGTATATTTTTAAAATTGAAAATAAATTATTTTTAGTATTGTGGTTTTTTCCTAAAGTGATTTGCAACATACATTATTTTTTGTTTTACAGATTCAAACAAACAATTTTGTTTTTTAATTATTATACTTTAAAACGTCAATTTTCCGAAGTTCCCATCTGATGAAGTCATATTATGACACCAACGTACAAACCTCCAACACCAAACCAAAACCTCTATTATGGTTTGAACAAATTTAATGAAATTTTCAATAATAATAAATATATCTGCAATGGAAGTTGGCTTTGTGCCAATACTCTCAACATAATAATACACATTTTTTTTAGTTTCTATTGCACTATTGCCAAAGTGACGACCAATAAAATTAAAAGTGGTAGTCATTTTTAACACTAAATGGTTATCAAACATAATAGGACACTGCCTTTCTCTGTGGTGTTTGTGCAAGTCACATTTAAGTGTACAAAGGCATTCTTTATAACACGAGCTTGGTTGAAAACACGAGCGAAACGAGTGTTCTTAAAAGCTCCGTAAATGTAATAAAGACTTTTTACTCATGCTTTATCTTCGATTTTACAAATGGTAAATTTTCCATGTCAATAGTTCGAATTTTTGTAAATATCACTTTGGCGCTAATCATGCTAGTATTATTCGATTGTCCTGACTGAACCAATTCATTATTGAAAAATTGTAAGTAATCACTAACGCATTGTCATAATGGGTACTAAGGAAGTGATATTCTAAATTGGCTGTTATTTCTCCTATTTATTAATTTTATAAACATGGTTCTATGGACTTCAAAAAATGATGCATAATTAATTTAAAAACGTTTTATTGGAATCTTAATAGTTACGTATTCTCCATAGATGAATTTAAATACTTGCTCTATCTCTTGTTGTAAACTTGTTTTTGCGAATGGTTTGGGAATATGTATACCTAAAATAAAATATAGATATAAATCTACTTGAAGTTTCGGAAGAAAAGACATCGCCGTCTTCTCCAGAAAAACTCTGAGGCTTTTGTTGAGCTTCAGGGTTTCTCCTGAAGGAGCCATACATGTCTGGAAAACAAATAAAAAAGGACATACCAAAATACAAATTAAAACACCTTATTAGAACGATTCGAAGAGAGTATATTTTTAATTACCAAGCAATTCAGTACTCAACATAACTTGTCCATCTTAGACCATAATCTACACCCAGAACTAACACCTTTAAACGGTAACTCTTGGCTCGATTTGCAATACCTAATCAGTATTGTCTTGTCTACCATTTAAAAATTATAGTATAATGAATGGGCAAACTGGGACAGCTAATTTTGAATATACTGAACATGACAAATGTGTTAAAATCCTAAACATCCTTAAATAAAAAAAAAATCGAGATAACATTAAACTAATGTAATAACAATTAAGCAACAATTTGTAAAGCAATTACATATAATAGGTACATCATTAGTAATTGCCTGTTATATCAGCTTTGCAAGAAAATGTAATTATTTTACTTTGATTTTAAGTGTTTTTATTCTTAATTAAGTATAATAATTAAATTTATTTTCTGTGTTTTTAATATGGTAAAGTTTATTTCAAGATGACATCACTGGTACATACCTTTGGATGTGAAAAATATTTAAAATCAGTCCATCTACATAACAATTTTAACTCATTGCGTTACAGTAAAATTTAAGGTATAGAAAATTAAAGAACATGTCAGCAGTAAATGCTGTTGTTTCTATCGGAGTTTCTTCTCTACGACATCATTTATCAATAGTAAGTTCTTCAACATCAAGCCGCTGTTAAAAAAAATTAATGATTCACCCATAATAATGGACGAATAGTACAATCAGTTGCTAGATACTACGAATTTTACGGAGGATTCGTAGTTAGCCAAAGCCAGTAGATAAGAATGCAATTTCTACGTTTATAGCTCCAGACAATTCATATCTCTTTAACGAGATAATCATGACATTATCTTTATTTTATCATAAGCAGTGTTCTGGTATTTATCATAACTACCTTTTTACGCAAGTAGATTTTTCGGTATTTAAAGTGCTTATAAATAACTCCCCGTATTATTTTGTTTTATTTGCAATTAAAAAAGCAAACATCTGTTATATAAATATTATTGATCCAAGTATCTAAAAAACAAGTTAATCTAAAAACCATGAAAGAAAAATTAAGATGACGCTATTATTTTACATTTCCACGAAAATTGAAGTTTTTGGAGACGGTGTCATATATTCAAATATTGTATCCCTAAAACATATATGTCTTCTATGTTTGATGAAAGGGTACTTAACACATTCTTTTGATTTTTTTGTCACTTGTTAGAAATTTTGGGAAAACACAAGTGTTTTAAAAAATGCCACTTTATTAATTGTAACAGGTATTTTATTGCAGCATATAAATTTTGTACCGCAGCCAATTGTTATGGACAAACATTTGAATATTATATTCTATTATTGGACTTTTTGCTACATATGAAAACATTAAAAAATAATAATGTAATAACCTTTGCAGCAAAAGAATCAGTAAAGGGTTAATTTTATGAAAATAATTTTGGCTAACGAAAAATCTCACTCTGTACAAAATTTAAAATACACATCAATATTTATCGCGCACTTCAAAAAATTGTTTATATTTCGAAAATCAATTTGTCCCCGCTTTCAGAACTGAAAGTTACGTTTCGTTTTCAATTATTTTTGACAGTTAAAATTTGTTTGTTTTTACCTGTTTGTATGCGTTTTTGTTTCATTTCAGCCTTGTTTGAGGTGATATTGAAAAAAGAACACTTTCTCATGGCAACTTTTACCCCCTATCGAATGGCATAATCAATTTTTATATGTAACGTTTCATCTCTCCAGGGCCATCATCAACTTCATTTTTCCTTTAAAAGTCCGATATTTCGATGAAAATTGGTCGTATCGAAATTAAAAAAAAAAAGAAAATTGAAACTGAATGAACAAGCTACCTGGTCCATGCAATGGCTAAGCTGAAAGAAAGTCAGTGGATTCGGAAAATAAAAGAAAATTTACAAAAATTTTTTGTCGCGCTAGCTCCTTATTTTTTTAAAAATTTTGACCGAAAGATCTAAAAACTAGAATCTTAGAGCTTCAAAATACTTTTTTTTAATTCCCAATATGACCATTTTTCACTTAAATACAGTCTGTCAAAAATCACGGAAAAATTTCGGAAATTCTTTGGACCTTTTAATTTTTTGCATTAGTTTATGATCGGAATTTATTATACCTCTAACCGCAACTGAGAAAGAGCATGTCAGATGTATTTGTATAAATATCCTGAAAAAAATTAGATCGAAATTTGTTTAAATTTTGAACACTCGGGAAACCTATAAATAACTATGAGCACGGGATTAAAACTCTAAAAATGTTTTATTGTAACGTGTAATGGTAATAGTTTAAATAACTAGGTGGATTTCACAGGGTTTAACGACACTTAGAATGTACGATAATTGAAGAAATAGAAATCTAAAAAAAAATTAGATAAATTTGGAATAATACATTGAAGATTAATTTTTCGAGACAAAACGTCTGAATCTGGTTCGGACAGAGACAGTATTGGGGGTCATAAAGGCTTACAAAAAATGTAATAAAATTTCCAGGGTCGTATTTAAAAAAATTAAGTTGTTTATGGTCTTGGAGAGATGAAGCGTTACATACAAAAACTGATTATACCATTCGATAGAGGGCAAAAATTTGCCATGAGAAAATGGTCTTCTTTTTTCAATATCACCTCCAACAAGGTTGAAATGAAACAAAAACGGATTTCCAAAATTTCGGTTTTTCTTTCAAAAATTTCGAAAACTAACCACGTTAGTCTTGATTCTTTAGATGCATAATGTTGGTTCCCTGATATGAAACTTTGTCCCCATTTAAGGTACTACGTATCTCTTATTATTTCCGAGACCCCTGTAGTGAGAAGTGAATTTGTAACAGCCTGTATTCATACGGAATTTCAACGTAAATTTTCTTGTACAGCAATGGTATAAACCAACCATTATTAAATGCTGGAAAAAAACCGCAGTTATTATAAAGGGTGTCGCAAAAGTAACATAGGATTTGAATTGCTGAGCCATTGAGTCTAGACAAAATGGAATGCTGTACGACGGATTGTCAAGTATGGAGAGTGTGTATCTGAGACTGTGCGCAAATTGCGTGGAATTGGGACAGGAAGATGGAATAGTTGAAAAAATCAACTTGTTCCTATTAGACTTAATTAATTACAAAACATTCTATGGGCGATTTTGTGATATAGTTAAGTATCAATTCTCCTGTTCAGTATTGTGACAGATTGCTAGATAAATATAAGGAAAACGTCCTAATTTTCTTAGCTGTATTATTATACCTCAGCTATTCCTTTTATACCTCGAACTATACGTTTCCTTAATTCCCTTATCAGAATGTTTATTTTTCAAATACACGTGATCATGAAATAAAACAATTCATAAACAAAATACTGATCATGAGGACAATAGGGACAATGCGGAATGAAATGAGTAACAAATTATGGAACGAACATGGCGAAGGCAGGACTTTGCACCGCTATATGCGAACACAAAGAGAAAATCAATTGCGTCCCACTACTCAGACCGGAGAGAACGGGTGTACTAGGACCCATAAGGATCAAAATGCTATGTCGTTAGGAGACGAACTAGACCTAGCGACGCTTCCTGCTAGCTCTATCGCGGTGCAGACGAACCCGAGTTTCGTCCATTCGATTACCAGTGTTGTACCTCTTTGCGGCGTTGCCGCATGCAGCAGGAATTCAGTAGATCTAGGGAAATTTAGCAGCTACAGAAACATGTGAAGTGAATCAACTGGGAATATTTACACAGCTCCTATGGCGCAAAAAGTTAATACAAAATTCCGTTTTATTAAAAATCACGTATATTTTATGAACACTAAAAAAATTGATTTTTAACATATTTTATTCGTGTTTTTATGAATACTTATCCATGTATAAGTATTTACTCAATATATTTATTGAATATGAAATAAAATGGCATACAGGGTGTTATATTTTTGGAGGCTCCACACTATCAACCACCTTATAACTTTTTTATATGTACACCCTATGCCCCTACGATTGAAATTTATATACAAAGGATGCCCTATATGTTCTACATTAAAACAGTTTAAAACTAATATAAAATAGGTGGATTTTATGAAAACAACTATATAAATTGTATTTTTCTACCTAAAAATACATAAGTACGAGATTACTTTCAATTATATCTAATATTTCGATATGTTCCAGATTTTTATATCTGTTGAGAAACATTTGCGAGCATGACACATCATCGAATATAAAATTACTATTAAGAAAAGATTAAAAGGCCAAGGATCAACTTAAAATTAATACTCAAATTAGTACAAGAGACCTTGGATTGATTATATAAAAGTATTATTACTAGTAAGGAATAACTCATTATTTTTCTCCTCCTCGTTATTCTATACGTATTGGTATTGGTTAATAATACTACCAATATTCATCACAGAAGAATTGCGATGCTTAAAAATTGAGATTGCCTTCCCTATAGATAAGTCACTGGATCTTACAATCCCATATATAAAATAATTTATTTAATTTTTTATTACAATAATTATACACCAATCAAAGCTAAAAACAAAATACTAATCCTATTGTTTAATTCAATAAATAAATTTGACTGTTCGATAAGCAGTTACAAATACCATATTCATTCTGAAGACTGAAGATCAGATTTTAAATTTCAAATAGAGTGGAAATATTTTTATAAAAAGTCAAAAATATGGATGAGCTAGACATATCAAAAAGTAACCAACGCCGAAAATTTTAAAAAATTGGTAGAGTTTATGTTGCAAAGCTGCTTCTTTTTTGAGATATTTCGATATTTTCGAAGGACAAAAAAAAATTATAAAACGACGATCAGTTACGTAAATGTGGAACCAACTTATAAAAAATATTTTTTTTTTATTTTTCATACACTTTACTGATTCAAGCTGTCCATGCAGATTTGTGAGGGGGTAACATTTCAGAAAGTTAATTTTAGATGTTATGCAATTCAAATTTATGGTCAAACATTGCCATGGTCTTTAAAGAAATATTTTTACGGTTAAGACCTGCATTTTATGAGCTATAAAAAAGGCAAAAATAAACTTATTACTTGCATAGTAGGTAGGTAGGTTCGTATATCAAATATTGTGTTATCAGTTGTGTAATTTGTACAAGAAAGGAATAATAGCAGTATTAATAAATCATGAACAAGTATAATTACTTTGTCTGTTTTATCATCAAAAATAAATGTTCTTGATTAAAAAGACAGCTACATAATATTACCTGCGAGGTCATAAATCATCTCCCAATGTTTTTAGGACAGGTAAGACATAAAAAATAAGGATATATTTTTATATGAAGAAAAATAAGTAACAAAACCAATATGCCTGCCAAATATTAAAGGTAGCTTATTTATATTTTAAGCTTTAACTTTATTGATGAGAAATTATATAGATTGATTATGATTTTATTCCCAACTTTAGTTTACTTACTTTGCAAAAAAAAAAATTTAAATACGTTGAACTTCAGAGCATTTAAAAAATCCACTCTTCTTCAATTTTGATAAGTCGAATAGTTTTCGAGAACTTCAATTTACATACATTTTAAATAATTTTATAAAACCAGGTAAAAGTAAAAGTTGAGGACGAAGTGCCGATATGATTAAGACATCTCGAAAGACTTTAAAGATATCGCAAAAAAACATACTATACATATAGACCTATAGACCATCCTCCTTTTAAAGTGTATCTTCCTTATTATCCATTTACGGAAATGACATTTTATCGAAAAAAAAAAGTAAAAACCGTCAATTAATTCTTTGAAGAGACAGTAAAATGTAAAATTATTTATTGTATTGTATTATGTAGCTTAATTAAACAAATCAACAACAACAAACTTCACCTCATTTTCAGCAGGTACTTATTCAATCACATTTTTAGTAATACTGCTTTATCAATGATACAGGAGTACCTTGCGATAAGGAACAGTGGAATCACTTAAAAAACCACTGCCAAGATTGACAGTATCAAATCATCTTCCTTGGGGAACGAAAGCGATTGAAGAAAAGTCTAGCTGCAACGTGGCAACACTCGCGTGAATTTTGGACGTGTGGTAGTGGTAATCGCGAAAGCATCGAACCTCCATGCTAGTGCTGGGGCAACGCTGCTGAAAATGTGCATGTAGGATATATTCCAACAGCTGACTAGAGTCATATCGTGTGAGTGTTGCCCAGTGATTTAGCCGGCACAAAAGACTAATCTTGTGTGATAGTGTCAAAACTCCTGAGTCCACTCTAGCATACATCATAGTAAGTAGTGCTAGTCAATCGATTTGCAAATTCGCTGTAATGTTGCTTTGCCATTTCTTTGTTTATAAACCGTTCACTCTTTATTAGCGTTTTACACGCTATGAGTCATATTTTTTCCAATGGGCCTAGGCTCTACAACTGTCAATTTGAACGTTGATGTGGCTGTTAAGCTGGAAAATATTTTTAGTGCGCCTTTCCGCATTTTGCTAACTGCAAATACGCAAACACACAACAAAGGAAAGGGAAAAACGGACCAAATGTATACGGAATTAAGAAAGATCTTCAATTGATAAAAAACTTATAGCGCACAATGAAAAATGTTTTGACATATAGGTAATAGTATTGCATAAAAACACTGCTTTATGCATTATTGCGCCTTGTTTAGTAAACTTTAGGTCAACAACTGATTAAACTTATATGCATTTTAACATCAGCAAATTCATATTTATTGTTATTCATTATAAACGTATTATTTATCTCAGAATAATTGTTTACCTAAACACATTTCAACTGAGTTTATGGGTCCGCAGGCTGTTACTTTTTTATATCCACAGTTAATCCCGTTAATCATAAAATAATTTATAATCAGTTTTAGAGTTCAAAATCGTCGTTTTCAATAAAATTTATTATTTGGTAGTAGGTCAAATATAAAATTTAGTGAATAGGTAGATTTTGATTGTTATTTTATCTGACAATCGTTTGATACAATGTATTGCTGAAGATAACTTTCAAGTGATATACACTTACCACAATGATAATCAATTCGAAATACTGTGTTAGACAATGTAATAAGATAAATAATTTTTATATTACACTTGGTGCATGACTAGGTGCACAGGTACCCGTTAGTGCATCTGAATGACATTTGGAAGGATTTTTTACTGCGGAATACGTACCTAGACAACTAATTCCTAAAGTACTTTTGTTACTTTAGGCACATTATTTAATTACAAAAGATTATGCTGTTTTCTTTACATGACCAATTTCAAATACACTGCTAAAGAGTATTAGATCAATGATGAATGAGAATACCATAATTTGGAAAAAAAATAGGAAAATATTGTCATTCATATTGATTTATCATGGAATATAATTACCAAACGTAACAAACACAGAAAATGTCGGTATTTTTATCGTTTTTCAAAAGACTCGTCTTGGATTGAGGTAAATCTAAGATCTTTCAAAAAATTATAAATTTTTTAAGATTCTATTACAAGATTTCACTGAAGTTTGAATCAATAACTGCACAAAATTATTTTTTATTGTCATTTCAAAGTTGTTGATTGATCTTGGGCACAGAAATTACACATCAACTCAAGTTAATTTTTTGCGATATACTTAATGTATTTTTTTCATAAATGTAATACTTAATCAATTACATAATTAATTGTAGGTGGAAGACAATTTTTTATAAAAATAAATTCGCCTTTTCAAAATTTGCTGATCTTGCAAAACTATTTATTTCATTCCTTCTTGGTAGATCATTTTAATTTCGGCAACAATTTCACTGAGAAGCAAATTATTTTCATCCAATGGAAACGCTTTATTGTCTGTAAATAATTTCGCCTTCATCACCATTGTACAGATCTTCTAGGACCGACTTAATTATCAAATTTCGTCAATTTTCATTACATATTTCATTTTATTCACACTGTCACTGCTACTCACATCACATAAATTTAAATTTTGAATAAAAAGTAATCGATATCCACAAAATAATTGGTGTACGCATATATTAAAATATAAAACGAATTACTGTAAAATAATTAATTACTACTTTGCACTTGAGGTTTTATCTAACAATATTTAGTCAATACTTCACCTGAGCACCATCCGTATGTTCGGACGAAAACGGCACACTCCAGTGGTACACTATTCAAATAGAATTTTTGAAGTGATTACTAGATAGCATATAGGATACAGTAGCCTGTTTACATTTTGTGTTGATCTTCATCTAAACATGTGCCTTTTGACAAGTGGTATTTTGTACCTCTGTTTAATTTAACAGAAATTAGTTACACAAGAAAAGTTACTTGTTTTAGAGATATATTTCATAAATGTTAATTGGTTGGTATACAGATAGCAGGCATTTGGACTAAATATTTCAGGGATCCTACAAATCGAAAATTATTAATTCAAGAAGGAACTTTCGAGCAATCTAGATGGCAATAACTTATTTAGGGGTGAAACTGGTGAATTTGACGCTACAGAAGGAATACTGGAATTAGAAGATCTGAAATAAATCTCCATTTTATTACTGAATACAATAAGGTCGTGTTATATTCAATATTTCGTTACACAAATGTATAAAGCCTGTACACAATATATGCATATTAGGCGCCACAGAATTTTTTTTACCACCCAGATGTTAGTTGTTGGCTGCTTACTACTTCCTTGTGACACCTGACTAAGCATAGAATGACCTCCTTATTGTTGATTGCTATTAAGAACAACGGAAAAATGACCACTAAGACTGGTTAGCCATACAATTAGGTGCAATCAATGTCAATTCCGCTATACATTGAGGTATCTAATTTAGTTATCTAATTCCCACAACAAAACAAATCGATTTATAACTTATCAGTTGTATGCCCCGAGTTCACTAAACTAATCAAATTCTTTCTAGTGACTGTCGAGACTAATCCTTTCTTTATTTTGGGATAATTTACGATACTAACATTTGCTACATGTCATAATTAGTAATATGCACAGATGTATATGCAGGTAAACCAGATTTCGTGACAGATAAAAAACAGGGAAATGAAAAAGGCAATACAATTGTTATTAAAAATCATGCCTCAATTAAGCTGTCAGTAATCCTTTGAATATTAGGCTTTTTTGTTTTTCTTCAATATTTATTGTTATTCAAAGAATCAGACAAACAAGTGATTATGTTTTATCGCGGCTATTTTATTTTAGCCAATTCAGTTGTTGCTTTTATTACTGTTATTAATGCCTACTATTGGTAAATGTAATCAGTAAATATTAATTCATTTTAATCAAGAAAAGTTAGTACTCACGTAATCTTACAACCGTTCAAAATATTTTCCACCAGCATATGGGCTCCGATACAGTATTGACGTATAAATGTTTCTTATGTCCTTTCTCTTTTATGAATAAATCATGAAATAAAAACATACCTTTTAGTATATAATAAAACATGTACTTACATACATAGAAAATAGTTACTTATGGTACTAGTGTGTTACGGTATCTATGTATAAGTCACGCTGAGAAATGTTAGAATTTCGTTTTAATAATAAATAAAAGTAACTTAAAATTTCAAGTTGCCAATGTCAGAAAAAGTAATTTAACGAAATGAATGTATTTTTAAATATTACAAAGATGCGAGTGTCAACCTAAATTGTGTCTGTAACCAAGGGTTGTCAGTAAACAAACAATATTTTTTTGAATTCAAATCACGTTGAAATCCTAAAACCAATACTGAAAAAATGGAAAATGTGGAAATTCCATCTGCAATTTTAGAAAAAGCTAATGCGGCTACTGCAGGCATCATTCCGGAGAAATCACGGTGGACGATTTGTTCCGCACAAGTTGACTGACGACCAAAAATTGCTCAGAATTCAACATTCGAAGGATATCATCAAGGAGGCCAAAAAGGACAAAAACTTCCTTTACAACATTATAACTAGTGAAACGTGGAATTTTCAATGTGATCCAGAAACCAAGAGCCAAACTGCCAAGTGGAAGGCTCCAGACGAGCCAAAACCCAAATAATCTTGTTTGGAGAAGTCAAAAGTGAAGGCAATGTTGATTTGCTTTTACGATTCCAAGGACGTTGTCCAAAAAGAGTATGAACCAGCACAAACAGTTAATGCACAATTCTATCTTCGCGTTTGGTGCATGGTACTCGCCGTATTCGGCCAGAATATCGCGCAGAAGGAAGTTGGCCATCTCGTCGATCGTTTGTGATCGATTTTTTTACTGAAAATCGCATTTCAACTGGCAATCACTCCCCGTACTCGCCTGATTTGGCACCGCGCGACTTTTACCTTTTCGGAAAAATGTATTTGCCGATGAAAGGAAAGCGTTTTGTGGACGTAGAAGCCATCCCAAACCCTTGTTCTTGCATAAAATCAACTCTTGAAAAGATACATAATTAAATAGGAAGAAAAATGTGACATTTTTCGAATTTTTTTAACATATTGTGCCGCCAAAAGTTAAGCCCACGTTTTTTTTATGCGCATAGAAAAATTTTCATTTCTAATGATATTTGAAAGCCAAAAAGCCAAAAATCTCCGTGGATATACGATTCACCCAAACCAAAACAGATACCGCCTAGTCTATATTCTTTAAAAACATTTACAGAAAAAAATTCTAAGAAAACCAACCGAAATCATTTCATTAATTGTTCTGTTTCAGTTGCAAAATACCAAATCAGAGAAATACAGCTAATAAATTTGATTCACGGTGAATGTTCCATGTATATAGAAAAAATTCAAATTATTTTTATTAGAATAATTATTTTGCATTTTTTTTTGTCGAGCAAATACTTGATACTGAATGACAGTACCAATATTTGCCTTTTAAGGCATATTTGATGATATTTTAACGTAATATTCTTGAAAATGTAAGTAAATCGCAAATATCTGAGAAAATTTAAACTGTAACCCCTACAATACCTATATCGGTGAAACGAGAATTTGATTTTCTAACGAGCGTTCAAATAAAAACGTGGTCGAAGTTGGCTCTGACACATTGGACGTAGGGAGTAGCTTATAGCGACCAACTTAACCTCATTTCTCAACGAGCTGTATAGCAGCTGTCAGTTTCAATAACGTTAATGACTATATAACTTTATTTTAAAGAATAATCGTGATAACAATAACAAACAATTAAAGGAGCTGCGGAAAG